TCCTATAAACCCAAAATGAGTTCATAGTGCAAAATTACAAAACATGAGGAACCAACCCACCATGAAAGTCGACAGACAGTTTAACTAAATAAGAATCCCAAGTATTTTAAGTAACAGAAAAACTGGAAGTTCTGTTAAAATAACTATCTTTAAACAGGATTCAAAACAAAACTTAAAACCATATCAGAGCAGGGCGCAAAGCAAGACGACTGGTTTATTTGGGAAAGAACTACCTGGAGCATCTAGAAATGAAAAACCGAGTCACCGACATCTAAAACTCAGCCTTAAAACACTCTCTGAACGTGTCAAACGGGAGGTTACACTCAGCCGAAGAGCAGCAAACGCGAAACCGCTGAGCGATTCAGGGTAGAGAGACGGAAACGGGAGCGAATGGCGAGAGACAGACTGGAATGACCGGAGCAGCTGGAGTTCCTAAAAGACCAAACAGAGCGTGGAAGAAAGGTAAACAGAGAGAGGGTGGCCGAGACGTGACGAAAGACGGCGCTGACAGGAGTGAGCAGCAGGACCGCGGCCTCGCTGGCGCGTAGGGAGGCCGTGGCTTCGCTCCATCTCTGCGGAACTGCAGCCTCGGATCCACTGTCTGGCCTGGCCGTCCACGGGGGCCTGGGACAGACACGGGTCCCCTCACGCAAGTGCGCGACCTGGAGGGCAGCTGCAGAGTCACAAGCAAATTTCAGTCCCTGTGAGGGCTCCCACGACCCTTGGGATCATCAGCCTCCCTTGCCTGCCGGCCCCTGTGCCTTGCGTGCCCTTAGCTGAGAGCCCCATGGAACTCCAGGCCCAGGCTCCCTCGGTGGGAATGGACCGGTCGGGCCCTAGCCCGGAACCCCAAAGCGCTTCCCCCAGGGACCCTAGTAAAGGCCTGTGCCCCCATCCTACCTTCCTCGGCCTGCACTCTGCCTTGACCTTCCCAAGTGGCCCGTCCGGGTGTCGTGTGCCGTGTGCCTCCTCCAGCCTGTGAGTGAGAAACCTCCCTGTTGCAGCTTCCCTTGCGGTCTGTTGGTGAACGAGCTCACCGTCCGCACTACGGCACCATGGGCGTTCATTTAACAAAGTCACAACAACTGACCTGCAGACAAGGTGGAGGCGTCCGCTGGCAATAGGCCTCTGGAAGCCTTTTAGCTGCAAATGGCCGGCTGCCGCGTGCCCCCAGGTGAACAGCGCTGCCTGGGGGTCTCACCACCTGCTGGCCTCCTGCCTTCCACCCAGTGCCAGCTCCTGAAGAAGCACCTGAGGCTTCCTGGACCTCGGAGCACTGTTGGCCCCAGAGGGCGAACGCATGCCTGTCGCCCCACGGGGTATTTGGCTTCAGGTGCGCGGCCGCACCGCCAGCACCGCCCCCGCTGCCGACTGTTGGGAGAATTGGCCACTACTTTGAGGAGGTCCTGCTGCGTTAGTTAGTGGCCGGGACGCCAGAGCGGCAGCCCTGCCCAAGTTCGTTATGGGGTGAAGGTGCCAGGCAGTGTCCTGAGAAGGAGGGAGGGGGATGGGGAGGTGCGGGGATGCCAAGTGCTACCCAGACAGTAGGGGGCGCCAGCACCAGGAACAAGTGGCTCCTGGCAAAGGCGAGCACGGGCTCTGTTGCCGCACATCGTACTGCTGTCGCCCGCGTCCCCTGACCACAGGGGCTATTCTGGGTTCCACCCCTCCCGCATGGTGACGCAAGCTAATGTTCTGATGCAAACAGCCTGAGCACCTGGTGCCAGGCCACCTGTAACGCGCCCACGGTGCGGCTCGGGCACCCAAGCACTGGCTGGTCCTCTGCTGTCGCCGGGTCTGCGGGCAGCAGCGGAGAGTCCGCCGCTGTTGGGCAGCAAAGCCCGACCCTAGTGCTGGGACGTTATGGGGACACCCTGGAGAGGGAAGGGGCCACCTGCGAGGTCAAATCAGTGCGAGGTAACACGGTTTGGAACTGGAACTCGAAACTGCATTGTGTATTTGACAGGTGCTAAGAGAGAAGATCTTGAAAGTTCTTTTCACAAGGAAAACAAATTGTGACTCTGTGAGGCAACAGATAACTAGACTCACTGTAGCGATCACTTTCCAGTGTGTACAAATACGGAGTCACGATGTTGTACACCTGAAACTAATACAATGTTGTATGTCTGTTATAGCTGAATAAAGGGGAAAAATCTGAAATTGCAGCTTTATGCATCCCAACATTCAAAATATTTGAAGAGATGTTGAACATCACAAAAATGAAATAATAAAAAGAAAAACAAAACTACAAAAATAAAAAATAAAAAAGGAGGAAAGAAACCCAAGAAAAGAAAAAAGAAACAAAGAAGCCAAAAAGAAAAAAGTCAAAGAGGAAAACCAACAAACAGGCCTATGTTCAGCAGGAGGAAGGGAAAGGGGCTGCTGAGAGGGTTTCACACTCCCCTCTGAGCCGCAGAAACGCAGCCTCCGGAGATATTTCCAAAGACCCCAAATGCATGGCCCTTTAAAAGCATCCCAGGACCTAGGGTGCGGAGGTTGAGTCCCTACTCCACTTCACATGAAAAGGTAAACAACCTCTTACTCCAGCACAACCACAGCGGCCTTTGGGCGAATACCCAGGCTGCTCACCCCCAGGAGGCCCCTGCAGCTTGTCAGGCGCACACCGCCTCCCTCCGCGTTGTGGCTGTTACTCCTAGGCGTTCAGCCCGGACACTATGCTGTGGGTGGAGACCTCAGGCCTGAGCAGTGACTCACTGGAACAAATTGGCCACGTGGGCAACTGCACCGCAGAGGGCCCAGCATCCCTAAGCCTCTCTGGGGGAGCAGATCTGGGGCGGAGGTGGGGGCGTGTAGTGCTTGGTCACAAGAACTTCAGGGAGAAGCAGGAGGTGACGATGGAGGCAGCCTGGAGAGCTGGACAGAGGCCCCCTTTCATGACGCTTCGGGACCATTGGTTCCTGGCGCCCCACGTTCCCTGCCCAGGTACGATCCTCGCTGGGCTCCAATCAGCCTTCAGAGGCAGGAGGCAGCCCTTCCCAGCGCTGAGTCTGCCTCCAAGACTATACCCCTCAATGCACCCGAATGCACCCTTCAGGAGATGTTTCTAAGAGCGGTTCCCTCACATGGAACCTGGGACTTTGGCCTTGGGACACGGCCAGGGCTCTCCTGTTTCCCAGATGCAGCTGTTATGCCCAGCTGCCAACCTGTTGCTTCCGAGGCTCTGCGCATGGGGAAGGCGGGGTTCTCACAGCTGGTCCTGATGCTCTGAGGAACAGACCAGGGAGGATTCAGTCTTCTAGATCCTTCCCCTTGGTAGGACTTGAGCTGTGCCCCTGGCCCTGGAACCCCCAGACCACCCAGAGCTTGTCCCTGGTGTGTTCCTTTGTCAGCTATTTAGTAAGAACTGCCAAGGTCACTGACCTTGAAATATAAGAACAGGATCTGAGACCTGGTTTTACAGGGCTTACAATCTAATTGTTGGGGGGAGGAGCTGAGGGGGTTAGGTGACTGGGAAGTGAAGCAGGTGTTAACCATTTTAGGCCTTGGCTGGTGTGGCTCAGTGCATTGAGTGCCGGCCTGTTTACCACAAGGTTTGATTCCCAGCCAGGGCACATGCCTGGGTTTCAGGCCAGGTCACCAGCAGGGGGTGTATGAGAGGCAACCACACACTGATGTTACTCTCCCTACCTTCCCCTTTCTATAAAAATAAATAAATAAAACATTTTTAAAAAATTATATTTTAGAATGACAATAATTACAACTGAGAGGAGGAAGGAAAGGGTACTGTCTTTGTCTGTTCAGGCCGCTGTATCAAAATACCACAGACGGAGTAGCTTACAAAAGAAATGAAAATTCATTTCTCATGGTTCTGGAGACTGGAGGTCCAAGGTCAAGGCGCCAGCAGGCACAGTATCCGACGAGCGCCTCCTTCCTGACTCAGGATGGCCGCCTTGCCCCCGGTCCTCGCAGGGCTGAAGGGGCCTCTGTCACAATGTCACTAATCCCCACCCATGAGGGCTCCACCCTCATGGCCAATTGTCCCCAGAGGCTCCCCCTCCCCACGTCATGACATTCGGGGGTACACGAACCTTCAGTCTCTAGCGAGGGTCATATTGAGGCTGACCCCTGAATGACACAGGCGTTTCGTGGGTGGAAGGGAGGCGCGAGCCCGGGCCGGAGGCCGGGAGCAGCGCGGCGGCGGTTATGACGCCTCGTCCGACCTTGCGACCAGCCTGCGTCGGCTGCAGCGTGTCCCGCCAAGGACAGAGGACACACGTCTGGTGTGTATCTTGATGACGTTTCGCTCACCACTAAACCCATGTCATCACCACCCACATCGAGACCCAGAACATTTCCAGCGCCCCAGAAATCTGCCTGCACCCCTGCGGTCCAGTCCTTCCCCAGGTGACCACAATCAGGACCCCAGCCCACACAGATGAGTGTGACGTTGGCTTTTATTTAAATGGAAGCGTGTGGCAGGTACTCTTTGTGTCTCCTTATGCTCAGGATTGTGTCTCTCTTGGGCTTATTTCTTGCTGGCAACAGTAGGCCCATCTTTTTCATCACTGCGTCGTATGCCACGGCCTGACTCTGCTGTGCGTGGTTTGTATCTATCAAGGTCATGAACATTTGGATTGTTTTCAGGTTTTTGTCTACTATAAATAAACTCCTTGTACATTGGTTCTCATTTCTCTTCTAAAGATACTTTGTGGCTAGAATTTAGAGCAGTGGTTCTCAACCAGCGGTGATTCTGCCCCCGGGGGGACACTAGGCAATAACGTGCGATGACAGTTTTGCGGATTCCAGCCTGGGAGCGGTGTGTGCTACTGCCATCTAGTGGGTAGAGGCAGCGGTGCTGCTCAACATCCTACATTGCACAGGAAGTCCTCCCAAAGCGGGGCGCATCCAGCTCCAGATGTCCATAAACGCTACCCAGGCGCTGTCTGGGCGGCACGGGGACCCATGGGTGGCTCTGGAACAGTGAGACCTCCATCAGTCAGAGAGGGAGAGGCAGAACAGACGCCACCTGGCGGCCAGCATTAGGCGACCCCAGCCTGGTGGGCGGCCCCCCGCGTCCAGGAGCTGAGCGCCCGCTGCAGCGCGCCGCGCACGTCCTGGTTGCGCAGCGTGTAGATGGCCGGGTACAGCAGCGGTGTGAGGTTGATGTAGATGAGGGACGCCAGCTTGTCCTCCTCCAGGGAGCGGCTGCGCAGGGGCCTGGCGTACATGGCCGTGGCGCAGCCGTAGTGCAGCACGGCCACGGTGAGGTGCGACGCCACCGTGTGGAAGGCCTTGCGGCGGCCCGCGGCCCCGCCGACACCCAGAATGACCAGCAGCACCCGGGTGTAGGAGAGCAGGATCAGGGCCAGGGGCAGCACCAGCAGCAGCAGGCAAGCCACCAGCAGGACGTGCTCCTGGAGGTCGCGGCTCCCGCAGGCCAACACCAGCACAGCCGGCAGGTCGCAGAAGACGTGGTTGACCACGCCGCCGTGGCAGAAGGGCAGCTGGAAGATGGTCGCGGTGAGGCCTATGGCCAGGACTGAGCCCCCCGCGCAGCAGGAGGCCAGCAGGCACCAGCAGAGCCTCCTGGTCATGAGCTGAGGGTAGTAGAGAGGGCGGCAGATGGCCAGGTAGCGGTCCAGAGCCATGGCAGCCAGCAGCAGGCACTCGGAGCCACCCAGCGCCACGAAGAGGCCCATCTGGGCGGCACAGGTGGAGGGGGCCACCGCCTGGCCACCAGGGGGCAGGAGGAAGCCCGCCAGCATGCGCGGCGTCAGCACGAGCGTGTAGGCCGCCTCCACGGCGGACAGCGCCCCCAGGAAGAAGTACATGGGCGTGCGCAGCGCTGCGTCCACCAGCGCCAGGCCCAGGATCACCAGGTTTCCTGCCAGCGTGGCCAGGTAGAGTGGCAGGAGGAGGGCAAAGAGCAGCGCCCGGAGCCACTGGGACCACCCGGAGAAGCCCAGGATGACAAACTCCTGCGGGGCGGTCCAGTTTGGGCAATGGCTCATGTTGGTACCTGGGGGAGGACAGTGTGCAGGCAAGGAGCAGAGTCACGGTGACCCTCCCTTGGCCTGGGAACCTTTGACCCAGCCTCCCAGGGGCCACCCCTGGCTTCTCACATTCCCACTCCCCTCTCCCAGGGACCCAGGGTCTTCTCCACCATCCAGTACTTTCCACCCTCACTTCCTGCGACCCAGCGTCCTCCAGGGACTCAGATGTGCCGAACCGCCGTCCACTCTCCCTCTGGCCCCCCACACCCCGCAGACCTCCTTCCAGTGTTCCAAACCCCGCGTCATCTGTACCTACGGCGCCACGCAACCTGCATCCCAGCCCACAAGACAAGAAGACAGCGGAAGGGACTCCGATTTCTACCCGGCAGCATCCTCACTGAGTGGGCTGGTTCTGAGTGACGGAGACAGGAGGCGAAGGGGCTTGAGCATCTTAGAAGCTCCAGGTCGCAGCGTCTCCCCCTGCCTGCTCCCCCTCCCAGGCACACGCCGCTCCTGGGGGAGGGTCACCTCCCAGCTCTTTGCTAACAGGACACCTGTGCTCCTCTGCTCCTGCCCTGGGCTTGGCCTTCTGTTTTATGTATGGTTGCCATTTCCTCCCCTTCGTGGATTCAGGACAGACCCACGCTGGGCCTGTCATTCCTCTCTGACTCCATTATAGGGGAAAAATGACAAGGGAGGATGGTCACCCCCCTCCATGTTATGATGAAAAACAGCCTTCATGACCGATCACATGAAATGACCACCATGGCTGAAGCTCTGCTGACAGACCCTCCCTCTAAAGACCCACCCCTCCCCTGGCTGCGGACCCTGCGGTTTCCACCCACGTGTCCCGCCAACCTTCCAATTCAGCCTGTCCCCAACCGAACATATTATTTCTACCCCCAACTTCCCCCTGCCTCTGCGGATGGAGCGGGCCCAGGGCCACGTGGGAAATCGGGAAGTCCCTGCAGGTGAGTTCGCAGCCCTGCACCCTCAAGTGCCACCAGGCACCACGTCCGTCAGAAACACTCAGAACTCCCGGAGGTCCTCTTTCCTCTCATGGCTGCTTTCTCTCACTGGTCCCCTTTGGCATCCCCGTGCCACCTGGGAGAGCTCTGTTCACCCCCCGAGGCTGGACTCACACGCTACGTCCCGGGTAGACAGTCCTGTCCCCAGGCAGCTTTGGCGTCCTCCTCTACTTCCACGGTTGCTGTGGCAACGCCACTCAACTCAGTCCCCTGGGATCAGAGATGTGGGTCCCAGTTCTTATTTGCTGAATTGCTCTAAGTGAAGGAACCTGTCACTCAGCCCTCATTTCCCCCAGATGTACACCTCCTCCCAGGGTCCCTGTGATGTCCCTAACCCGGGTTCCAGGCCCTGGACCCCCAGAGTCGGGGGGCTCACCCTTTACAACAGCCAACTGCCCCCAACACCTGTTGGCTCCTCCCCTGAAGTGCCCTCAGCATCGACCATTCATTTCCGATGGGGCGTACGCAGCCCATCAGCTTCAAGGTCAGCGCCCTGCCCGCCCAAGCCTACCAGGGCCACGTTCGTCTCCCCATCCAGCCATCCGAGCGCAGTTGTCCTTACTCTCTCAGCTCAGAGACACGTTCTCCCCCTTCCCCTTCTCTGCACACGCCCCAGTCCTCCCTCCTTTGAGCCACTTCTGGCTCACCCTCCCCAAGGAGCCTTGCCTGGCTGGGCGGAAACCCCACTTTGAAGCACTTCATGTGGGACATAGTGATGCCCATCGAGGCGCCACACTACCTGACCAGGCTGGCGTGTAACCGACGGCTCCTCTCCTCATGGGAGGCTGGCGGGGCGTGAGGTCATTTTTATAGCGCATAGACCAACTAGCCACCGCATTGTGACCGTGCGACCATCCCCAGCCACCCACCGTGTGACGGGCGCCTGGACAGGGCGTGCCGGAGCCTGTTTCCTCACCTGTAAGAAAAGAGAGTTGGGCCAGAGGATATTTACAGTTTCTTTCAGCTCTGACATTTTATGTACAATCAAAAGCTGTGTTTGTGGTCATGTTTATACCCGCGGTGAACCATTTTTTTTAGAAAAAGATACTCTGCTCTTTCAAAAGCCCACGAAGAAGTTGGGAGACATGGGCTGAATTTGGAATTCAGACTCAGTAAGGGAGGCGTCAGAACAGTTGTGACATAGTTGTCGTCAATCTCTGCTTCTTAGAAGGACCTGAGACCGGTGTATGTAGCAGAGCACCTCCTGTGGTTAGACCAGCGCGTCTGTGCTACGTGCCCACGCGCTCGGGCGTGTGCAGCGCGCTGTGGCGCGCCCTGCCTCCTTGCTCCCCTCTGGGTGGCTTCAGACAATAGGGAAGGCTGGGAGCCGAGTCATGGGGGTTGGCTTCTAGTCCCGCCTGTCATGTTGCCCAAGTCACACCTTTCTTTGGGTCTCTAGTCCCTCACTTGTCCCCTCGATGTGGGACTCAGGCTCTGTAGCTCCCAATGTCCCAAGATCGAACTGCCCGGTTTGTCGTGGAGCGAGGGCAGCTCGGAGGCCCAAGCGGGCCTCGGGCCCCTGCGCCTTTTCATCTCTGCTCTTTCACAGAGCAGCGAGGAGAACGTAGGGAGCGTTTGGAACCATCTGAGGCACCGGCAGCCTCCTCAGCCCCATGGGCTTGTTTCCGTGACCTGAGATGAGGCGCAGAAAGGGCCTGCGCAGCAGGTCCTGCGGGGTGGGAGCTCTGCCAAATGAAAGTCACCCAGGTGTCAAGCTGTGCCCAGAGCTTTTCTGTGCCCTCTGCCCCGGAGGCGGTCACATCCCGCCTGGCTGACCTGCTCAGGAGGGAGGAGTTCCTGGCGGGACCAGGTAACCAGTGGGGGCGGGGGGAACCCGGGGTGGGGGAGGCCCCCTTCCAAGCTGCTCGGTTCCGAGACCTGTTGTTTCTTCAAGTTCCAGCCTTGGTCTCTCCTCCCCAAGCCCTCCTGTCAGCCCTCCCCCCGTGGCCTCCTGGCCTACGCTTCATGGGCGGCACCCTGCCTTCCCTCTAAGTGCCCACGGGCGTCAGAGAACAGAACCGAAACAGCAGCTACCTCTGCGGGGACGGTTGCTGCCGCGGCGGAGCCCGGGCGGGGCGCAGGAGCATCCCCAGCGCTCTGCCAGCTCGGTCGTGTTGCATCCTCGCAAGGCCACCGGGAAGTCGTGTGGCTCTTGCCGCTATTAGTGTACAGGTGAGGAGGCTGAGACTGGGAGAGCTCGGCCAGCCCCTCCCTCCGCTGGGATCTGTCCCCAGGGCTGACTGGTTTCCACACCTGTGCTGTCTCTCTCTGTCAGGCCTCCCCACCCAAACGAGGGCGACCGGAAGCCGACTTACAGGCGAAGAAGCGCAGAAGCAGAACGAGGGGTACGACCCGTGGAGGACAGGTTAGAAGTGGAGACGCGCCATGTGGCGGGGTGTCCCCAGCCCCAGTGGTTCACCAGGCTCTGCGCCGAGAGAGAGACAGGCAGACACAGGCAGACAGAGAGAGAGAGAGGAAATCTCCTGTGTGTCCAGCCTTCAGGAGCTAAAGCTCCCTCCTCACAGAATGTCCTCTCTGTGACAAACACGGGTCTCTGCTGCTGAATCTTAGCAGGGGCCCCGGGCTCGGGACCTGGCACCAGAAGCCACAGGACGCACCTTCCAGGGCATCCCTGGAGGGGAAAGAGCAGAATATGCAAACTCTTTAAAGGGAACGTCCGGACTCGGGGCCGCCAGACCCGCGCTGCCGCCCGGACCCCGTTCAGCTCCTCTGCTGACCGGGCCCGTTGCCCGCTGTCCCGGCCGCGGCTCCTGCGGGGCGTCAGGTCCAGCGTGGGCTGAGGAGACGGTGCCCTGAATGGTGGTTAGAAGGAGTACAGGCTGCAGCCACTACCCTGTGGACACACTGGAACTTTTTTGGTCCCCCCCTCACCGTCTCTACCCCGCCTGTCGTTCACACAGAGCCACGCAGCCACCTGCACGCGCCACATCATTCTTTCCTCCGCAGCCCCACACAGGCGTCTCCACGGCGGGCCGAACCCTCCACACCTGGAAATCTGCTCATGCTTCGAGGCCCGCATTGACTGTCAGCTCCTCTGTGAATAAAAGGAATAAAGTAGTGGGTTGCAGAAGGGTTTTATAGAAAATGGAGAGCAGGCTGACTCTGCCACGTCGGCGTCCCTCCCCTCCCATGACCTTCCCACTGCTGCGCCCAGGGGCCCTCAGGACGGGAAGTCACCTAATAGGTTTCCCGGGGCCCACTTAAGGGTCTGCCTTGGTCCAAAGCCCCGGGGTCTCATTAATGATCATCGCCCCCACCTGTGGTCCCTGAGGAGCAGGCGGCCTCAGTGGGCAGGGGCTGCTGGGATGAGACGGGGGACACTCGGGAAACCTGAACAGGGGGCTCGGGGGAGACTGAAACTTCAGGCGAGGGGCCGGGCGTCCGCTGCCTGCAGAGGCGGAGAGATTGTCTGCAGCAAGAGCTGGGGGCGAGCCTGGGCCCAGGGCCATGAGCGCCCACCGCCGGCGGGGAGGCAGCTCCCCACAGAGAAAAGAGGGAAGTTGCTGCTTTCTCCACATTTCCCCAAAGTTCAAGCCAAGGGGCGGCCAGGAGACTGGAGGTCTCGGGATAGACTGACTGGTGTAGTTGATGGGGGTAGAAATTTTCATCCTCATCGTCATCCCCACCCTCACCACCGCCACCGCCACCGCCACCGCCATCACCATGACCATCATTATCACTAAAAATACTCAAAAGTGCTGGACCACAGAGCCCAACAATGCAGACTTTGGGTTCTGCCCCCTTGGAGAGAAAATGATGGCATTGCAGGCTACATGGCTTTGTATCCTGCTATTCCCATTTAATATTGAAGTACATGTGTTTTCCATGTACTATTGTACATATTCATTCTCACTGTCTATTCAAGTGTTGATTTATTTTTTAAAATATGAGATACCTGGTTCAAAGTTCCCAGGGTAGAAAAGTATTGCCTGCCCCGGGAACGTGACCTCCACACTCACCCAGAGACCACAGCTCCTATCGGGTTCGTATCTCCTTACAGAGAGTCTAGGTAAATACAGGATAGTAGGTGTGTGTCTGTGTTATTTGCTATTTTCAATGGACAGACTATTAGCAGCATCCCCAAATTATTATTATAGTCCCCTCTCACTTAGCAGTGTATCTTGGAAATCATTCTACATTGGTATATTCTAGTTTATTTAACAAATGCTTATGTAGTGTTTACTATCTACCAGACACTGTTCTTTCGTGACAGAAAAATAATAGATCCCTCCAATCCTCACCACCCTTTTGTGTAGGCACTATTATCACCACGGAGGCCTCCAGATACGGCAGGACTTGCCTGTGGTCACACAGCTGCTCAGTGGTCCCCGTCTATCCTGTACTGCCTCAGTACGATGACAAGTGTCCCCACGTTTTGTCATATTGCATCCTGTGCCACTGTAGGTAGACACCATGATTGATTTAAAAGTCCCTGTTGAAGGACATGAAGGTGGTTTCTGATCTTTGGCTCTTATAATCAATATTGCAATAAGCAACCTTGTCCCTGTGTTATTTGGCGTGTGTGCAACCAGTAGGTCAAGGGGTCTGCACATTTTAAGGTTTGTTATTTTGTTAATTACTGACATCATTCTCCTTGGCTGTTATAGCGCCTTGTGCTTCCCTCTGGAGTACATGCAGATCCGCATGTCTCCACACACCTTCACCAGCACAGGAATGAGAGGTCATTTTGACATTGATAATTCAATAGAAACACAGTATCTCAGTGTAATTTTCATGTGTACTTCTCTACGGATAACGTTGACCTTTTCATATTTTAAAAGATATTTGTACTTTTGGCACCGATGATTCATATTCTTTCTCATTTTTTTCCATTTGCCTTTGACTCTCTTATTGGTTATAACTTGTTTTTAATTTCATTGTTCGATATTTGTCTTTTGGTGTTTATAGCGGGTTTTTTTCCACGGAGAAATTCTTTTTTTATATCCATGTAGTCAGACTTATATTTTCTTTTATAGCTTCTGGGTTTGCATCCTACTTGAAAGACTCTCTACACTTTAAATCAAAACATACTTGCCTACATTTTCTTCTTAAATATTTATGGGTTTTTTTTTTTTTACATTGATGGTTTGATTTTTTTTTTAAACTCATTAAATGTTTAATCCACATGCAATTTATCCTGTAAGATGTGGGTAGGAATCCAATTTTATTTTTACATGCCAGTCACCATTTAAAAAATAAATAGTAAAAATAACATGTAATAGACTTACAGAAAAGTGCAGAAAATAGTAGTACAGCTGGGATGGAATTTCACAAAGTAAAAAAAAATAGAACATTACCAGAATTCCAGAAATCCTCTCCACCCCCCTCGCCTTTGTCTTTCCTCCTCCCGAAAGGAAAACACTGTTTGTTAGCACCTTGTATGAGTTTTGTTTTTGTGTCTGGTGTCCAAGGATGTGACCATCGCTTTCTGGACACGAGGCAGGGAAGACGGTGCCTTCCCTTGCCGCCGGGATCCCTGGCACCTCCCTCTCAGATGAGTGGGCATCTCGCATCCCAAATGTGGTTGATGGACAGGAATGCATAGCAAATAGTAACACTTCAGGCTGAAAAACAACCCACAGAGACAGCTGATGCCACCACCGCGCTCAAGAGCTGTGTGCCAGTGACCTGAAGGCACTGTGCGCCGGTGGGCCCAGGGGGACAGGGCTCAGGGGGGCTTTGAAGAGTTCTGTTTCTTCAGGGCGACTCTAGCTCCCGAAAGAGAGCATCCCTGTGGGCCTGTCAGTGGGGAGAGGGAAACCTCACCACCCCATGCGGCCAAAGAGCGAAGAGTGTCCCCCGTTCCAAGTGACTTGCTCAAGGGCAGAGCAAGACCCTGCAGGGGACCATTTTCTGAAGCTTCAGGGGACTGGGTCAGCTGTGCCAGCTTCTCCTGGACAGGAAGCTTTGGCTTGATGACCTTCCTCCTGACCTCCTGCGATTACTGCTGTTAAGCATGCATTTTTAGGGAGGCTGGGGCGCCGGGAAGGGCGGCCCTCCAGGCAGCACGCAGAGGACCTGCTTGGCGCACATCTAATTCTTGACAACCAAGCCTTTTTGAGAACTAAATGTGAGCCACGCTCTCAGGGATGCACGGGAGGCATCGGGCAACACCTTCCCACCTTGGGAGCTTGTAAGCAGGATTCGGTAAAAGTAGACAAATTGTTTTCCAGCTGGGGACTGGTCTCAGAAGGAAATAGCAGGCTGGCTGCAAGAAAAAACTTTATTTCTAAATGGAGCTGGGGGTGGGGTCTGCTGAGGACACAAGTCTGTCCCCTGCCAGTCCTCTGATGACCATCCCCAGCAGCTGCAGCTGATGCTGAGCCTGGGAAGGGTCAAGAGTGGGTCTTGGGGGTGGGCTGTGTGGGGCAGGGGGGCCCCAGGCGCCCCTGCCCCGCGGGCCCCATTGAGGAGCCCGTCGCTGAGGACAGATGCTTCTCACGGAGCGGCTGTCCCGGCTCCCGGCTGCCGGGTGGCCCGGGTGCCCAGCCGCACAGCCGCCTCAAGACCCAGGAGGGGAGCCACACTTCCGAGCCGCGTTTTTGGCCATCCACAGCTTTCCGTCTCCGCCGGCTCCGGTGCCTGGTGAAGAACGAGATGGGCTCCAGGGGGTGCGCCCTGTTCCGGGCCAGGAAGAGCGCTGCCCCCCAGCCAGGGCCCCTGGGGAGGCGCCGGAGCCCACGGGGCAGAGAGGCAGCTGCCCCTGATCCGCAGCAGGACCCCGGGGCTCGAAGGCGGGGCAGCTGAGCCGGGGGTCCCCGGCTGAGGAGTGGATGGCTCTCCGGGTGGCCCCGTGTCCCCTTCTGTCCCCCTTCCCTCTCCACCCTCTGACCTTCAAGGTCCAACCAGCACCCCCCCATCTTGTCCCCTCTTCTCATTCGGGTCCTGTCCTCTCTCTGTCTGCCCCACTCTCCCCCGTTGCTGCCTCCCTCTGTCCCGCGGCCCCCTCCCGGTGTCTCCGGCTCTGTCTCTCTCTCCCTGGGTCGCAGTCGCTGCCTGCCTGTCCCTCTTTCCGGTCCTCCCGACCCCCAACAAGAGGCGGTCGCTACCTTGCAGTATGCTCTGCTGATTGTCCTCGGCCTCGGCCTCGGCACTCGGGATGGGGGCGGCAGTGGCGGTGGGGACGGGGGTGACAGAGAGCAGCAGCAGCAGCAGCACGACCAGTGGGCACCACATGGCTAGGCAGGCAGGGCTGGGGGAGGGGGCGAGCGGGACAGGTGGGTGGTCAGAGGCCCTGCCCTTTGTCCCCGCACCGCCCGCCAACTTGCCCACGCCCTCTGCTCCCCTTTTCGACCCCTTCCCCGCCTCCCATGTGCTGGGCCCATCGCCCCGGAGGCCCGGCCCACACGCCCAGGCCTCAGTCACCCCGCACCTGCCACAGCCCGGTCACCAGTCTCGGGCTCCCCCAGGACTGTTGGATCCTGACAGTTGCCTGAGCGGTCCCTGGCGCTCGGACGCCAGCACGAGCCCAAGCCACGCCCACTCCTGACCACGCCCCAACCTCGCCCTCCACTACTACCTTCGCGTCCCAGGACAAAGCCACGCCCACATCCCCCAACCAGGCCCCTAGAGCCAAGACAAATCTCCACCCACTGGGCGTGTCCCTGGCACAAGAGGCCACACCCCTAAGCCGGAGCCACCCGTCTATTGGCTGAGCTAGACCCACCCCGCCTTGTCCCTCCTCCTAGATTGTCCCCGAAGCCCTGCGAGGCGGGGCTCCCGCCTCTGAGGGCAGCTCTACCCCGATCAGCGCCGTTCTGCGCCCTCCAGCTCCCGCTTCAACCGCCGGGTCGCGGCGGGCACCGTCCCTGGCCACGATCTGGGATGGAATAGGAACAGCGGGCGAACTTTTGTCCTCAGGCGCTCAGTGGCCTTGCATTGTCTTTTGTTCTGCTTAAGAGGCTTTAGAGGAAAATATGAAAGCCCCAGGTTGAGCAGCAGTAAATGTGGGGATGGAGGAGGGGACCCCCCCCCAAGCCCGATGGCCGAGTTCCCGCTCACACTTCCCGGCCCAGCCGAGGGTGAGAAAGGCGAAACAACGCCGCGCACAGTCTGCTCGTTCAGTCGCGCGTCCCCACGTGCTGTTCACGGGGCAGGGGGGCCGCAGGCGTTGAGCCCACAGCCGACTAGCCACAGGCTTCGTTTTTCAGGGTGCGAAGTCTTAGCTAACCGCTTCCTTCACTCCCGTGTGTGCTGTGAACTGCATCGGAAAGGGCTACCGAAAGCTTTCACATAGACTGTTTCATTATATCAAACTCACCGTTATACTTACCTACCTCAAAGAAAAGTCACCTCTGCGAGAGGGTAATAAGGCCCCCGGACTCAGAAATGTGAACAACTTGAGAAAATACAAAGCATTGACACACATTAGTTCTTTATTGAAGAGGCAGTTCAGACCCACTTATATATGCAAAGGGTAGGATGACAAAATACGTAATGGCCCGTCACCTTTCAAATATTTTACTTAAAATATATAGTACAGTAATTAGGCTTTACCATCGCAGCGTGGGAAATCTCAGCAGTTGTCATTAAAACTACTACAGAGTATTTCCTGCACAGAATTATGCAAAATCTACCACTGAACTTCTTCTGCAGCATATTCATAACCATGTAGAAAAATATGGCAGGAGTGCTGAGCAACAAGAATGGTAGACATTTGAGATTGAAAAAAACTTTTTATGGAAGTATAATACACATGCGGAAAAACACACCTTGAGTGCACAGGACACTCAAGTGTTCAGCACCCGGATTTCGAAACCGCTTGTTACCAGGGCCTGCGAAGGCCCCGTTTCCGCCCTTCGCCAGGCTGACCGCTCTCCCGGCTTCTAATTGCATAGGCCGCTTCGGCGCGTCCTCCAGCCGCACAGAGATGGAGTCACACGGTGTTCGCCTTTGTGTCTGAGCCCTTTGTTCGTCCCTGTACGTGGAGTTGAGCGGTGTTACTGTCCGTTCATTCTCTTTGCTTTATGGTATTTTGAGTGGAAACACATCACTTTACGTTCATTCATCCTACGGCACATGTGCCTTCAGAGGACTCTGGTTTGTGCATTTTACACGGATATTCCAGTACATTCCCTTTGGTGGACACATATGAGCACTGCTGCTGGGTTTGAGTTATGAGGGTACGCATGTTGGGCCTGAAGAGCCGCTGGCTTTCCAGAAGGGTTCTATCTGCGACACCAGCCGCAGCATAGACTTCTCGTGGCTTACATTCTTGTCAAAATGTGATGCTTTTTATGCTTTTCATTCTAACCATTTCGGTGGCTGGGAAGCAGTACCACATGGCGCTTTTAAAATGTGCATTTTCCTGATAATAAAATTAACATACCTTCTCATGTTTATTGGCCATACGATTATCCTCATTAGTGAATGTCCAAGCCTTTGAACCGTTTTTTAATTTTGTTGAATTGTAGGTGCTCTTTCTACATTTTAGAGGGTCAGCAACTACAGCCAGCAGGCAACCCAGACTGCTGCCTGTTTGCAAAGAGTTTCACTGTGACGCGGCCACCCTGCTCGTTTCTGCGGTGTACAGGGCTTTTGCTGCACTGCAGCGAGGTCGAGTGGCCAGGGTGGAGACCGGCCGGCCGGCGAGGCCCCAAAGGCCCGCTGCCAGCCCCCCACCCTGCTGCGCTCCAGTCTGCTCCCCCTCTGTGGTTTGTCTATTTGCTTTCTTAATGGTGTCTTTTTGGATAAATATAAGTTTTAAAACCTAATATATCCAAACACATTTTATACTTTGATGCTTTTTGAGTCTTAAGAAAATTTTGTTTACTATAATTTTACAGTCTGTTTTCTCCTTATAGCTTTATTATTTTACATTTCATGTTTAGATCTGCATTTCACATCAATTTTTCTATTACGAAATTTAATGGACAGAGCATTTATCGGAAAGAATGTGTTTTCCCAAACTGCACTGCAGCATCATCTTCCTCCTCACCGCATGGTGTCACGTGTGGGTGTTTCTGGACCCCCCAGCCTGCCCCGCTGGTTGATTTACCTCTGTGCCTGTGTCCCACCACCGTAACTTCTATGGCCTTACAACAGGCCTTGATATTTGTAAGTGTCCTCTTCCTTTGTCTATTCTAGAAGATAGCCTTGACTATGATCAGTCTTTTGAATTTTCACAGATTTTGGAATTAGCTAAATTTCAATTAAATAACTTATTAGGACTTTAATATTGTATTGAATATATGAACTTGAGGAAAACTAACATCTTTTAAAGAACAGTGCTGGAACCCACAAACTAAATATGTTTCCTTGTTTTATAATTGTTGGGTTTTTTTAAATTTCAAAATATGCTTAAGTTTTCCCCTAAGCTCTTGGCGATTTTTGATGCTATTCTAAGGGGTACTGCTTCTAAATTTTTCATTTTCTATATTCACTGCTGGTATAGCAAAACAATTTTTTCATAATGATCTTGTATGCAGGGACCTCACTAAATTTACTAATTCTAATTATCTGTATCGTCGTCATAATTTTCCATGCAGAAAATCATGTCACCTGCAAATAACTTTTACTTCATTCTAAACCTTATGCCTTTTGATTGTTTCTTCCTTCCTTCACTTTCCTAGCTAGGTCCACCTGCATAATATTGAATAAAATGAGCCCTGGTAGACATCCTTGTTCATTATTTTGACCTTGGGAGAAAACTTTCAACATTTCACCTCTAGGAGCGCTGCTGACTGTGGTTCCAGATACTGTTTATGCGACCACAGAAGCATCTGTCTACGCACAGCTGGCTAAGATCACCAATGGGGACGATTTTACCACATCAGTTTCCTGCTACTGTTACCTTTCCTCATGTGATGTGCTACGGTTACTCATCTTTGATGATTTAAACACCCCCCATCCCTGGGGTAAGACACATTGGATCACTGTGTGCCCAGGGTGGGGTCAGGTAGCCACTGTAAGAGTTACTGGCAGTCAGAATGGAATTATCAGGATCAGTTCAGACTAATCGGGACTTCATCCTTTAAGTCACATGAAGAAATGAGAGGCACCAACGCCTTCCACCAAGGAAAGAGGGGAGAAAAGACACCGAGTTCATTAAAGTGTCTGTGAGACTTGTGTTAATTTCTTTCAAAATACTGGAAATAAGGGGTAGTGCACGAAACAATGGGCCTGTGTTCCTATGAAACAGAGGCATAGACAAAACCTCTGAGTTACCCAACACCGGCGCGCTGCGCCACCACTCGCGGGGTGAAACCGAGGCGGCCTGAGAGCCGGGCGCGCTCCGCGAGTGACGACAGTATGGCTGTCCTTTACCACTGGAACAGACTTAATTCCAAACTACCTACAGTTTATGAAAATAGTCTGCTGTAAAATCTTTTTTGCTCAAATGTAGTTGAAAAATACAAAAAACCACTATTAATGAGGCATTGGAAACCCCTTTATAAATGCCTCTAAAAAATAGAAAATTATGCATTTAATTTTGTACCTCTCAAGCATCGCACTGACATTTTGCCATCTCATTCATTACAAATAAGACTACTGCCTTTCCACACGTATTCAAACCCCAGTGTAGAATTGCATAGAATTATTGCTAGACTGCCTGTGTAAAACATGGCGGAAACGCCCCTCTGGGTATTAATGCTGCCCACCTCGCTATCCAGGCCTGCTGACCTGGAAGCTTCATTTTATACAATAAAGGTTTATTCAGAGGTGATAATTTCTGACATCTTTCTTATAAACATGTGATTTTACACCAGAAATATGGCTTTTGGTCTAACCATGTCCAAGACAAAATATTTCCCATTTATTACTTCGACACTTTGCCTTGGTATGATTCCCTGATATGTAAATACACTTTGAGTCCAAAATAAATATTAAATATTTATAAAGTTTACTCCCGTATAAATTATCTAATGTCCAATGAGTTGTAGTGTCTTGCTGAAGGCTTTGCTTCTTGTTCCCTTCTTAGGGATTCTTCTCTGTGAAAATTAAAATGAACCTAATGTCTAAATGTGTTTCCCCATTCAGAAGCATGAGCTCTCAGATCATGATATTTCACTCCAAATCATATTCAGAGGGTTTTCTAAAATGAGATTGGGCTTCACAGGAGGTTGCCCACATCCAGTACATTCTTATTTCCTCTCCTGTGGATTCTCTGATGGCTATTGAAGGCTGATCTGTGGTGGAACTTTTTCCCACATTCGTTACATTCATAGGGCTTCTCTCCTGAATGAGTTCTGTAATGTACAGTGAGGTATGACTTCTGAGAGAAGACTTTTCCACACTCATTACATTCATAGGGCTTCTCTCCTGAATGGCTTCTATAGTGTACAGTGAGGTTTGACATTCGGGAGAAGACTTTCCCACATTTACTACATTCGTAGGGCTTCTCTCCCGAGTGGATTCTGTGGTGTATGGTGAGGTATGACTTCTGAGAGAAGAACTTCCCACACTCATAGCACTCATAGGGCTTCTCTCCCGTGTGGACCCTCTGATGCCTGAAGAGGGATGAGTTATGGGAGAAGGTCTTCCCACATTCGTTACAGCCATAGGGCTTCTCTTCTGAATGACTTCGATAGTGTAGGGTGTAGTACGACAAATCAGAGAACATTTTCCCACATATATTGCATTCATAGGATTTTTCTCCTTTTGGGAGTGACTGATGACCATCAAAGGCTGAATTTTCAAGGAAGGTTTTCCCACACTCATTACATTCATAGGGTTTCTCCCCTAAAGGAGTTGTATGATGGTCAGTAAGATAGAGCTGAGAGGACTTCCCACACTCACTGCACTCATGGGACTTCTCATCTGTGTGTACTTTGCGATGTCTAATAAAGGCTGAATTTAAGTTGAAGGTTTTGCCACACTCATTACATTCATAGGGTTTCTCTTCCAAATGGCTTCTATAATGTATAGTGAGGTATGACACCCGAGAAAAGAACTTTCCACACTCACTACATTGATAGGGCTTCTCGCCTGTGTGTGTTCTCTGATGTGTAATAAGGGTAGATTTCCGGTAGTAGGACTTCCCACATTCATCGCATTTATAAAGTTTCTCTCCCGTGTGTGTTCTCTGATGGTCACTGAGGGCTGACTTGCGGGAGAAGGATTTCCCACATTCGCTGCACGGATACGGTCGTTCCCCTGAATGGTTCCTCTGGTGCAGGGTGAGGTGTGTCTTCTGGCAGAAGGTTTTCCCACATTCATTACATTCATAAGGTTTCTCTCCTGAATGAGTTCTCAAATGCTGAGTGAGATGCAACTTCTGACAGAAGGTTTTCCCACACTCATTACATTTATAGGGCTTCTCCTCTAAGTGTGATCTCCGGTGGACAGTGAGGGTCCCCTTCTGGCTGAAGGACTTCCCACACACATTACATTCATAGGGTTTCTCTCCTGTGTGAGCCCTCTGGTGGATAATGAACTTGGACTTTTTACAGAAGGATTTCCCACAGGCACTGCATTCAAAGGGCTTCAATTCCATCTGTGATCTCTGGTACACATTAAAATTTGACATCTGGAGGAAGTCTGATCCTGAATCATTCCACTCATAGGGCTTCTCCCCCACATAAGCTCTCCTGCGAGTAATGAAAACGGCTTCATTGTCTAAGGCTTCCATGCATTCATTGTATTCAAAGGGTTTCTCTAAAATACTAATTTTCCGAAGAACACTTTCTTCGTTTTGAGTAAAGCCTTCCCCACTTTGATTAAATTCATAGGGTCTCTCTCCAGGGTATGTTTTCCCACATTCACGACACTCGTCAGGTTTCTTTTTTGCATAGCTTCCATCACTAATGATTAATTCCGAACTAGATTCTAAATTTTTTCCACATGAGACACAACTGTGAGAGATGCTTGAAGGAACAAGGCTTGCTTCTGCATTACAAGTTTTATCAAATGCATTCTCTCTCTCTTCAATCACGGTTCTGCTACTGATATAAACAGCTTGCCTTGAATGTTCATCTTCACTTCCTTGGATTCTGTCAAACACATCATCAGCTTTCCAGATTTCCTCTGAAAAGGAATAAAGTTAAATAAACCTTGTGAATCTGAATACACAAGCTACAGAATGGGAGTGGTTTCAAGTGCCCTATTGTGGGGTTGACTCTGGCTCCTTGGCCAATCTCCACAAATAAAAAATTATTACAAGTGTATAGTCCTCTTTTCCCCTTGATTTGTCATATAACACACACACACACACACACACACACACACACAGAGGTGGGGCTGGAGGGGCATGGGGAAGAGATGAGGCTGAGATAGGACTCAGCATTAGTGGGTAAAAGGAGAATCAATTCACCTAGAACACAAGTACCTTTGTTACTTTACAAATATGTTGAGCACTTTGGTAGAAAAGGTAAAATAGACACAAGAAATGAAAAGCAGAGGACAAAGTCATGGAAAGAGTGCTAGATCCAGGCAGAAATTCGGGGACTCAGAGCAAACGGTGCCCGTGGAAGAACAATTACTAGGTGGGTATTCAAAGGGAACATTCAAGTATGAATTACATCTGGGAGAAATTCCAATTTATATTAAATGGTAATAAATCATTTCATAACACAATTACCATAGTAACATCCTCACTAGTATAGATCCTTCCAAAATCTTGGCCTTTCTATTCTGCACAGAAATCCAAATAAACATTCTGAAAGCTCCATTCCCCTCCCATTTAGAGACAGTCCCACAACCAGGGCCCCAACTGCCTAGTCCTGACCACATTCACCAGGAAGGAGAGCTCCCTGGGAATAAGTATCCCAAAGACCCAAGACCAGATGGCAAGAAAACTTTCCAGTAAGATCACCTCTCACCCTGACCACGGTGGCTCAGTGGGTTGGTCACTGACCTACCGGGTGATGGGTCACGGGTTCGATTCCCGGTCAGGACACATACCTGGGCTGCTGGCTCAGTCCCTGGTTGGGGAGTATACAGGGAGCAACTGATGGATGTTTCTCATTCATTGATGTTTTTCTCCCTCATCCTCCCTCCTTTTCCTCCTCTCTAAAAGAACTAATAATACATAAAATCTTAAAAAAAAAAAAAGTTTCTGCTCTCTGAGGGACTGACAGTCTTATTTTATGCTCACGGGACTTGCTTGCACAGCAGAGCACAGTGGCTAGGCTGGGAGTGCTGGGACCCCGACCCCAACACGTGAAAGCTGGGGGACCCTGGACAGGTGGTTTGACTGTGACGCAGCTCCACCTGCCTGGACTGTGGACCGCCATGCCCAGGGCACAGGGCTGGGAGCAGACCAGCCCAGGCAGCACATGCATCTAGACAAAACACAGGCTAATGCCGCTTCATCCTTAATTTTCTTCCAGTTTTCTGACTTAAATTTCCCCAAACCAGTCATGTGTCTGACACAACACTGTAACTTAATTCTGAGTACAAGTAAGAGTCCCATGCTCCTGGGTTTCATTTGGTGTCAAACCTTAAACATCAGATCCCTACTGTTGCCCCCAAAATACTAACATTTCTCTAGGGATAGTACAGAGTTTTAGATTCTCTCGTCCATCGTTACCTGCTCTCATCCACATGCAATGCAACACTGACCAACTGTGCTCCGAAATCCACAGGGCCCTGAGCCCCAAGCACCAAAAGAAAAAGACAGAGAAGCAAGGCTTCACCAGTAGGACCCTTGGGGACCTGGGCTCACAGTACATGTTCAAACTAGTGTCGCACTGGTCTCCATAGACACCTGCTGCTCCAGGACACCCAGGTACCTGCCCCAGCCACAAGCCTGTGCCCAAGTTCCTGTTCACGCAGCCTGTCCCTGTAGTGAACGAAGGGTGAACGAGGCCCAGAGCTGGCGATCTGAGGAGGGAGGAAGGGCACCGCCCCCTGCCGGGCAGAACCGTCCTCTCAACTGCAGGTTAAAGGTGTTGGGTGTCAGTGTGGATCGGCAGCATACACACAAACTGGAAAGCCTCAAAAGCTGAGACAAGATGATCCCTTTTAGGGACCCAAAGAAAAGTAGAGGCAGAAAGCAGGCCTGAGGAGGCAGTGCCCCGAGGGAGGCCAGAGAACGGACCAAAGCCGGCGGTGAGATGGGCGCCTCCTGACCACCTGCTGTGGACACAGGAATGGACAGACACACAGACGTGAGGGCGCTCGGGGGAGCGAGGGAGGCGCAGCTGGTGTCGCAGCGCCGAGGAACCGGGACGCAGCCGGGGCAGCCGTCAGCACCTCCCCCAGAAGCACACGCACACCCGGCGGCGAGGCGGGGACCAGCCTCACAGCTTCGGAGGGGACGAGGTGTCAGCATCTGAGAGCAAAGGGCGGGGGTAGAAACTGGGCACAGAAAACCAGCCTGGGGCACTTCACAGCGAGAATGGAAAGAAAATGGGAGATAAGAACAGACAGGACAACCTTGAGAACGTTTTCTGCCGGCCTTTCGAGTGCCTGGAAACAAAGGAATTCTGTGATAGTGGGGAGGCTGGTCACCAAGCCTGGCACGCCCCTGCATGTGGCCGTCACATGTGAGACCACGGGAGGCTGCAGCCACGAGCTGGCGGGCAAGTGCTTCCCGGGAGCTGGGACTCAGGGCGTTGAGGAGCAGGGAGGGGTACGGGAGTCACTCCCAGGGGTCCGGGGATCGTTTCTAAAGTTGTGACATTCTACTAACTTACCTGGACAGCTCTGGCATGGAAAGTCACCTTCGGCCACCCATGGCTCTTCTCCCTGCTCCAACCTGACGATCACATTGGGCTTGGCGCTGTCGTACCCTGTGCATGAGACACGGAGCAGGCTCGGGCCAGCTGCTTGGCTGGGGGCGCGTCCTGCACAGACAGTGCTGCCCCCGAGGCTGCAGGACAAGCTGGCCCGCTTTGCACCTCATCAACAATAGAACTTCTTCACGGAGAAGCAGAGATACAAACACTACCTGGTGCCCAAAGGGAATTCAATGGGCTTATCACTTATTTCTTCAAAGTGGAGGATAAAATCACTGGACAAGAAGCCCTCCCAGAGCACAGTCCGAGTGCCCGCCCTGCTCACCCACGGACACCAGGTGGCTGTAGTTCTCCAGCATCACGTCCCGGTAGGTTGTCTTCTCCGCGGGGTCCAGCTGCTGCCACTCCTCCTGGGTGAAGTCCACGGCCACGTCCCTGAACGACACTGGCTCCTGCAAAGGCACCATGGGGGAAACTGGGTGACGGGGACAAGGCATCTGGGGACAAGAGCTTACCGAGCTCCCTGGTGAAGTCAGCCAGGAACATGGTACACCTTTTATGTTACAAGTTGTGGACGAAAAACCAACCATTTAGAAAACGCATGGTCTCTGGGTTCAGACCTTCTTGTGCCAAAAAATAAAATAAACTAACAAAACCCTCAAACCACAAAGAAACTGTTTTCTGGTTTCACAATGGAAGCACCTGGGTTCGGAGGCCGTGATGAGTAAGCTTCATTCCCGCTCGCAGAGTTGCAGGCGCTGAGTGGACACTGGGCAAGTGCACAAAGCCGCCTGTTGCCGGTTGTGTTCTTCAGCAGCCCTGGCTGGGCCCCCTCTCCTGCCTCCTCTCACTGGCGCCCAGGACCCTGCCTGTCCCCCTCCCTGCCACACTGGCTGTGCTGGCGGCCGTGGCACAAGTGACCCCCGGCCCGCCCAGAGAGCCACGAGCGGCCCGGGCGGCTTCCTGCCCCCAGGGCGCAGAGCGGCCGGATGACTGCCGAGTCGGGTCAAACCCTGCGGCCACGACCAGCACCGCATGCCGCTGCAGAGCCCCATAATCAGGGGGCGACACACTCGCTGGCCAAACAGGAAACTTCCATCTGGGACAAATACCAAGGCAGACGGCACACCGGGAGCTGAGGTGTGATCCAAGGCCGTCTCAGGTGAACCGGGACGCACGGTCAACTCAGTCCATACTGGACGTGGAGGTTTTTCCCAGAGGCCGCTCCCAGAAAACGGCTCTCACCAGCAAGCAACCCGCACAGCTTCCCCTTGGCCACATAACAAGCACTGGAGACGCTGGGCCCTTGAGCGCACCATTGGTGGAGCTGAAACGCGGCGCGGCTGCTGTGGACACAGTCCAGTGGGACTCAGAACACCTAACACAGAATGACCGCATGGTCCAGCAATTCCACCCCAAACACTGGAAGTAAGGGCTTGAAGAGACGTTTGTACCCTCTTGCTCACAGCAGCATTATTCCAACAGCCCCATGTGGAAGCAACCCCCACGTCCGCTGGCGGGTGAACAGGCCAGCAAGATGCAGTCTACGCGCATAATGGAACACGATTCTGCCGTCAAAAACAAGGAAATTTTGACAGATGCTGCAACATGGGCGAACTTCAAGGTTATCGTGCTAAGGGAAATAGCGCAGTCACAAAGAGACAAATACTGTGTCACTCCACTTACACAGGTACTTAGAGGAGGCACATTTGTAGAGGCAGCGAGCAGAAGGGAGGACAGGAAGAAAGTACAGGGACGGGGGCCGTAGGGTCAGGAGGCGGCTCACTCAGTATGAAAAGCACAGGCCGGCATCCAAAGTAAAATAGTAGCAAACAGAATCCAATACCAGATTGAAGAGATCTCACATAACAGCTAAATGGGACTTATTCCAAGAAAACAGAAGATTTTAATACTTGCCAACCCATTCATATGATCTGTCATTAGAATCCATTAATGTGATAAGAAGAAAAATCTTGTATCTCCAAGATGCGGAAAAAGTCTCTGGCAACATTCAATATGCAAACGGAATTTGAAAAAGAAAACTCTCAAGGAAATAGGAATTGACTGATACTTTACTAATATGAATGTATGTATATATTTACACACAAACTCTTACAGCTGAACATGCATCGTATATGTGATACATACCTATGTAAGCAATACATATATGCACATATATCACAATTACACACAAGCGCGTATGCACACTTTTTAAACTTATACAGACAAGCACGCTCGCAGATATTCCTGCTTCAGTGCTCTCAGTTCTAAAGTCAGGCTTTTACTGCTGGAGACACACTCGGCACTCCCACGAGAGATGGGAAACATAACAAACAAGGAGAGCCCTGCAGCCGCCGCCTGAGAGCCCCCGGCCAGGGAACGGGGAGGGAGAACCGAGGCAGAGTTCAAGAGAAGGAGCTAAGAAATTGAGAGAAAGAGGGAGGAAAGAAAATATTCAACTGAAATGGGCTCAGAACTGACACAGAGGTTACAGTTAGCGGAGAATGTTACAATGGTTTATAGCCGCATTCCATATGCTGAAAAAAAATGAGTGGAGACACAGAAGATATTTTTAAAAGACTCAAATTTAACTTCTACAGATAAAAATGACACCATCTTCTTTAGGTGAAAATCATACTGGCCTAGATTAACAGCATGACCGGAAATCAGGGTGGTGAACATGCAGACAGACAGTGGAAACTGGGTAAAATGAAACACAGGGAAAAAGGAATTAAAAGAAAATGAAGAGCATCCCTGAGCTTTGGGACAATTTCAAGCAGTGTAACACACAGGTAATAGAAATCACTCAACAGTGGTGGTGGGGGAGGGGGGTGGTACTTAAAAAAATAATCATCAAAGTTTCCCAGTTGATGAAAATCATTAATGCACAGATCCAAGAAGTTCAATGATCCCCAAGCACAGAAACATGAAAAAACCAATATCAAGACATATCACAATCAAATTGTCAGAACCAGTGATAAAGGGAAAAGTTTAAAAGCAGCAAAAAAGATGTACCAGAAATGGTAACTATGTATTTTTTCTTATTACTTACAAGAGGTGTAATAAGAGAAAACACCTCTTGTAAGTAATGAGAGAGGAAAGGAGAGTGAGAGGGAGAAGGAGAGAGAAAGAGAGAAACATCCAGTTGTGGTTCCGGTCATTCGCGCCCTCAGTGGCCGATTCCTGCATGTGCCCTGACCGCGATGGACCTGCAGCCCTGGGGTATGGGATCTCTGCTCTGACCCACTAGCAGGCCAGGGCTCCCTGAACAGGTAACTGCTTGATTAAAAATAACAATGTATCATAGGATGGATACAGGTAACTGCTTGATTAAAAATAACAATGTATCATAGGATGGATATAGGTAACTGCTTAATTAAAAATAACAGTGTATCATAGGATGGATACTCCCTATAAAAGTAAAAAGCAGCAACAGGGTAAAGACCAAGAGGGAATAGTGAAAGGTAATTGTAAACTTCTACTCCATGTGAAATGGGATATTACTTGAAGATAAAACATGATAAATTAAAGTTGCATACTATAAACCCCAAAGAAACCACCAAAGTAACAAATCAGTGTTATAGCTAACAACCCAACAAACGATATAAAGTGGAATCATAAAGAATACTCAATTAATTGAAAAGAAGGAAGGTGAACCTTGGCAGGGACCAGTCCTGGGGGCCACGCACAACACACACACACGTGCACACACACACCAGCAGACTCCCCGCAGCCCGAGCGAACAGCCCCAGGTGGAAGGTCCGCCTTATGTGCTCACTCATCCCTGGGACTCGAGAGACTGGCTACTTGACTTCCAGCCCTGGCCCTGCAGTTGGGACCACTGCAAGCTGCTTGAATCCCCGCGTGCACCACCGGCTCCTTGAGAGGATTTCAAAGATCTAGACACAGTTATCTATCTCACGGAATCGGGCCAATGCATTTTGCGCAATGCTGCAGAGTGAACAGAGTAAGCTCCTAGTCTATCTCCCTGCTCCAAAAATTCCATTAGATGTGTGGTCCTCGGATAGAGCACGTGTCTGATATTAAACTGATGAGAACAGAGAGATACTACACTTGATCTTAGCCCAAAGGGCAAGGACCGATCGAGAGATTTTTTTTCTCCTTTAGAAAAGAATTCCAGCTAGTAAATGAGGGAGAAATGGTAAGAAGCACATCACCACTTGGTCTCCCCTAATGAAGTGACGGATCATGGCAATGAACATGGACCGACAGACGCTAACATCACAGAATAAAGACAGGATGGTAACGTGGGCCTCTGGAAAAGAAAACACAAGTGTCTCACACAACAGTCTTGCCGAAAGAACTGAACCTACATCTGAGTGAATTTCCAGAGCTAACTATTAATTTTACAAGGTGTACAAGGGATTTTTTAAAAAATGTAAAGTTAAAACAAATGGCAATGCAACCAACACAATCCAGACTGCGGGAAACTGAGGATAAACAGCCCAATTTCTTCAAAAAACATATTGCAAACACATAACATGAAACATAAAGAGGGAGCTACTAGTAAAAGATTTAAAAGGCCAATACACCAACTGCAACATATGGACTCTGTATCCTGATTGAAAAGGATAAACCAGGAAAAAAAAAACCATTTGGAAAACTGAAACTTTGAACACCGGATATATCATAAAGGATGGTATTGTACGTTATTCCCACTCACCTTTTGAAAGGCTCTAGTGTTGAAAGAGATGTACAGAAATGTGGGTAAATGTTTCTAAAGCCAAATAAGGAGAGAAAATATCAGATTGGAAGTAACAGATATCAAAGGCAGATGAATGCTCCCGTGAGGAAAGGACTGGAAAATGTCCACTGGATTTGGCCACAATCAGGCCACTGCTGATCTTTACCAACAGCTGCAGGAAAGCGGTACAGACAAAGCCAAGACTCTGAGAACTCAGGCAGGAACGGGAAGCGCTGACACCCTTACAAGAGAATGCTTTTTTGTTCTGTTTGCTGGGCAGCCAAAGAAATGGACTAACAGAAATATCTGAGAGACGCACAGGTCGCTGTCCAGGGCTTCAGTTTTATCCTTGGATAAAACAGGAAAGACAGAAATGTGTCTAGTTGCATCACAGTATTTTGGTGCCTGGAAAAATCAAAAGCACCAAGTTCTCCTTGGGCAGAGGTCCCTCTGCTTACAATGGTGAGTATGAGCCATATATTGCAATGATTATTATAAAATCTATTCATGTTATATCAACTTTATCGAAGAAAATTTTCCCAGTCCCAGGAAATCTTCGCAACACACAGGTAACAAAAATGGTTTATCTTCTTATAGTCTATAGAAATCACATAGTGGATGGTATTTTCCTTTTTCTTTGACAGTCAAGGAGGTTGGTCATATTTGCAGCTCAACTTCAACGGCTCTAAAGTACCAGGCTACCCGTATAAGTGAATTTAACACAGATTCTTGGCACCAGTCTCACACTCTCAGAACTGCATTTCACATGTCTTTTATGTACCTCTATGTTCTTATTTTAAAGTATGGATCCTTATAAACCTCCTAAAATGTATTACAATGCCAGGTGGGAAAACTCACCTGGAATTCTCGCATTTTTCTGCTGCTCCTGGGAAACTGTAGAGATTGTTAACAGTGGACCTAGGGGAGAAGAAGCAAGTAATTGAAGTCATGAGCAGCCTGGCCTGATGAGGCAAGAATCTCTTGCACAAAAGCCACCAAAGAAAGTTCAAGAAAATGATACCCCATGAACACTCAGAAGGGACTAAAAAGAGTAATAAGAGAAACACACACTTGAACCAGTCAACGCCAGAAGGATCCAAAATAGTTAGGTTACTCTCATTGGTGAATATAAACACTGATTCCTTTTTCAAAGAGTTGGCCAGGAATAAAGAAAAAGTGAAAAAAGTCCTTTTATACTGTTTACATATGTTCTTACTGTTCTTTTCAATTGCTAAAAATCAAAGAATCCACTGGAACATAGACCATGAGCTTTCAAAAATGGGATAAATGTATATCAAGGCATGGTTGTGTTTATCTGACTAAACTTAGCACTGCTCTTAACCTTCTATTAAGAAAATGGTAACACAGCGGGGACAACCCTTGACCCGGGAGCCTTAGCCGTGTCAGCAACCCCACCTACAGACCCCGACACCTCGGACAAGTCACCGCCCTTCTCAGGCCCAGTCTCTCCCTCTGCCACCGAGGCAGCAGGACGGCCCCCTTGCAGGCTTAGCCTGCGCTGCCCTGCGTGACTGACCGCACAGGGCAGAACCAGCGGGAGTCGGCACACACTTAGATCAGAGAACAAAGGTCCCGACGCGCCTTTAGAGACCCGTCCGGAACGTGGGGAGGACGAGAGCTGAGGAACGGGTGTCGGGTGTGCAGGGAGAAGGGGTCACGGCACGTCAGCAGCCCAGGCTGTGACACGCTAGTCGCCCAGGAGACCGAGAAGTCACAAGGCCCAGGGGAGCGCCCACTCCAGAGCGGCCAGCCGCTGCGCCCCGGCCCAGACACCGGGATCGCCGGGAAGCGGCCCCCGCCCCACCCGCCGCACACTCGCGTGTCCTCGCCCCGGCGAGACCCGGCCCTGCTCACCGGGGCCGCAAACGCACGACCTACCCCGGCGGGACTCGCTGATCTGCCCCGAGGCTCCGGGACCGGGCTGCTCCTCCGGAGCCTCCTCCCCGGGGTCCCCGCCGCTGCGCCTCCCAAGGCCGCGTCCCCGAGGAGCCGGCTCTGAGCCTACGGGACAAACCCACTCAGGAGAACATCCCTCCCGGGGCCTCACCGCCCCGCGCGCCTCGGCCGGGCCGCCGCGAAGCAGACGGGCCCGGCCCGGACCCCGCCGCCGCCGCCCAGCTCCTCGGGCCTGGCCCGCAGGCGGCGGGGTCGCCTCGGGGGTCCCCGCTCCAGACTCCGCCCGCCCGCGCGAACCCTGGCCCGCACAGCCCCGCGCCCGCTGGGTGGAGGCCCGACCGGACAGCGTCCAGCCCCGCAGGCCCCGGGATCCTCGCCCAACGGAGGCCAAAGCCTGGGAACCACGGCCAGCGGTGACCTGGGCACGGACAGGAAGCGACAGCAGCGCGCCGGCAGTGCGCGTGCGCGAACACGCACACAGCCCGGGGTGCACATGCGCACGAGGATGCCGGAAGTCCGCCTGCCAGGGCCCACCGGAGCCGCGGGACAAATACCAGGACTCTATTTCCCATAAGTCCGCGTGCGCCGAGTTAGGGGAGGTCTTAGTAGTCCTCCTGCTGTTAAGAGTCTGGTAACTGGTCACTGATACTCTTAAGCTCTCAAGGTAAGGACAGAACTAGGTCACCAGGGCACCTGGTGCAGCAGCGATGTTATAGATGTTAAGAGGTGCTGTGCAGGGAGAACGGCCGTCCAAACCGGGACCCCAATTGCCCCTTAATTCAAACGGACATCTATAACATCGCTGCTGCACCAGGTGTCCGTACGAGATTAAGGGCCAATTCTGCACCAGGTCCCCTGGGACCCCGATTGCCCCTGCATCAGACCTCTGAAATCTATAACATCGCTGCTGCACCAGGTGCCCTGGTGACCTAGTTCTGTCCTTACCTTGAGAGCTTAAGAGTATCAGTGACCAGTTACCAGACTCTTAACAGCAGGAGGACTACTAAGACCTCCCCTAACTCGGCGCACGCGGACTTATGGGAAATAGAGTCCTGGTATTTGTCCCGCGGCTCCGGTGGGCCCTGGCAGGCGGACTTCCGGCATCCTCGTGCGCATGTGCACCCCGGGCTGTGTGCGTGTTCGCGCACGCGCACTGCCGGCGCGCTGCTGTCGCTTCCTGTCCGTGCCCAGGTCACCGCTGGCCGTGGTTCCCAGGCTTTGGCCTCCGTTGGGCGAGGATCCCGGGGCCTGCGGGGCTGGACGCTGTCCGGTCGGGCCTCCACCCAGCGGGCGCGGGGCTGTGCGGGCCAGGGTTCGCGCGGGCGGGCGGAGTCTGGAGCGGGGACCCCCGAGGCGACCCCGCCGCCTGCGGGCCAGGCCCGAGGAGCTGGGCGGCGGCGGCGGGGTCCGGGCCGGGCCCGTCTGCTTCGCGGCGGCCCGGCCGAGGCGCGCGGGGCGGTGAGGCCCCGGGAGGGATGTTCTCCTGAGTGGGTTTGTCCCGTAGGCTCAGAGCCGGCTCCTCGGGGACGCGGCCTTGGGAGGCGCAGCGGCGGGGACCCCGGGGAGGAGGCTCCGGAGGAGCAGCCCGGTCCCGGAGCCTCGGGGCAGATCAGCGAGTCCCGCCGGGGTAGGTCGTGCGTTTGCGGCCCCGGTGAGCAGGGCCGGGTCTCGCCGGGGCGAGGACACGCGAGTGTGCGGCGGGTGGGGCGGGGGCCGCTTCCCGGCGATCCCGGTGTCTGGGCCGGGGCGCAGCGGCTGGCCGCTCTGGAGTGGGCGCTCCCCTGGGCCTTGTGACTTCTCGGTCTCCTGGGCGACTAGCGTGTCACAGCCTGGGCTGCTGACGTGCCGTGACCCCTTCTCCCTGCACACCCGACACCCGTTCCTCAGCTCTCGTCCTCCCCACGTTCCGGACGGGTCTCTAAAGGCGCGTCGGGACCTTTGTTCTCTGATCTAAGTGTGTGCCGACTCCCGCTGGTTCTGCCCTGTGCGGTCAGTCACGCAGGGCAGCGCAGGCTAAGCCTGCAAGGGGGCCGTCCTGCTGCCTCGGTGGCAGAGGGAGAGACTGCACTTTGTTACCGTTAAGTCAAAGCTTCTTGATAAGAGATCCTTTGGGCAGCACACTCCAGTTGGTACAAATGATTTAAAGACTTAGCCATGCCTAAATATATCCTTTTTACTTACAGCATCCCGCGGACTTTCTGATCTTAAGTTGTTAGAACAGTAGGAAAGATGAATGTAACAAAATTTCTTTTTTCATCTTATGTGTAAGGATGGCAGATTCTTTCAGTAGCTTTGATGTTCATTCACTAATCAGAAATGTATCCACTCAGTCAGTGTGGGAGTTTCAGGTGTCCAAGTGGGTGCTCCTTCCCTTTCATTCTTCCAGTCACTTCTTTAGGTTTATAGGGACAGTCTCCCCTAGATGGCTTCCTTGGAACTTCCTGGCTGAGGTCTGACGCAGGAAGAGTGCCCCCTTAGCCGCCGCCCAGAGCACGTAACTTGGTCGCCTGTGTTTTCCGTCTCCAGGTCTGCCTTCACTTTCACCGTCATCCACATCTTTCCAAGAGCAGCAGAAAATGAATAAATATCTGGTGAGTTCTTCTGGTGATGTGTTTACTCTCTAGTTTGCTTTATAATACACCTTAGGAGGCAAATAGTTCAGGCTTTAAAATGGGCAAGTAGACCAGATAGAAGATGTGCTCAGACAAATCACGGGGCAGCAGATCAGCACCAGGCGTTTTCTGTCATGTTCACGTGTGTGGACAGCATGACTCTTCAGGGCTCCCAAAGCCAAAGGACCAGTGTGTCCATGTTCTTGATATTTGTTACAAAAAAGGCAAATGCCATCCGTTACTTGACTAACAACTGACCAGCTGAAACACTTGTTCTGTCATGGGTTTTAAAGATTTTGTTGACAGTCTCGCCGTGATTGTGACTGGCCTCCCAGAATGACAAACCCTGATCCGTTACCATTGGTGCCTTGCGCTTCCTGTAAGCCAAGGGCATGCCCCCGGCGGGTGCACGGTGCACATAACTGCTGGTAACGGAAACGCCATTGTCCCATAGCTATATCGCCTTTACTGCCTGATGCAGGGGTAACCCGAGGACCGTCTGGAGCAATGGCCCTCTCATCCTCCAAATGAGTCCCATAAACACCTCTCCCTCCGGTCGCCTGTTGGGGCCACACAGTAGACCGGGCAGCGATGTCTCTGGCAGAGATTGCACATCTCCCAGTCACGCTTTATCGTGCAGCCCGCCGTGCAGGCCTGACCCGGTCAGGGTGCCCCGGGGTCTGCAATAGTGCCACTGCCCCCTTGCCCGTCTGTAGTCAGTCTCCTTGCTGATTTCTGTGTCCGGGTCTGTCCTTGGCCCTGATTTTAAGAGGCAGTTCTTCCCCTCAAGGAGCATCCATTCTCCCTGGAGGAGGTGATCATGGAAGTAGCTGTGGGCGATCACGGATCCCCCGCCCCCCAGCCATCAGAACAGGGGCCCTGCGGTGGCGGCGAGCAGAGGCCGGCGGTAGCCGCCCCGTCACAGCGTGCGGCGGCGTCACGCGGCAGAGGGGCCGGCGTGGGCCGGACGCGGCAGTGCGTGGCGGTGACCGCCCTGAGACGAGCAGCACCCGAGCGGCTGCAGGGGCTGGCGACGTGCTCCCACGGAGAGCAGCACGAGGCGACCGGCTGTGGCTCCCGGGGGCCGGGGGTTGGGGGGGGTCTGGGCGCCCTCAGGACGAGGGCCCGCAGTGGCGGGACGGTGCGACGCGGACGGCCGTGGGCGTGGCCCCCTGAGGGGTTGCCGGTGCTGCCCCCACTCTGCCTTCTCTTGTGGGGAATCTGAAACCTTGGCATTGGAAAGCGAGTCCTCTGATAAAAGGACGCCGCGCTGTGCAGGGACCATGGGCATGAAGCGCGGATGGAGGGGAGTGAGTCGAGGGGACCCGGGTTCCGAGAGAGACGCCAGAAAAGGAGGACAGCATGGGGTGCCGGGCTGACCCTGGGCCCCGACGGCGTGTGTGGAGGCCCACGACAGTCTCAGTCGTGAGCGAGCTGGACGTTTTTACGTATTTAGAAACGTGCTTCCCATCAATAGACTACGTTTAGAGCCGTTTCAGGGTTACGGGAGAGTTGCGCAGACGGCGGAGCCCTCACACACCCCTCCCTCCCAGCCTCCCCTCCTGCCACCATCTTACAGGAGCTACAGTTCCTTACTTTGCTACAACTGCAGGATCGGTATCGACACATTAGTGTCTGAAGCCCGCAGTTTCCAATAGGGTTCACTCTTTGTCTGGTACGGTTTAGGTTTGGACAGATGCTTAGTGACGTGGACCCACCGTATCTCTGCCGTACAAAATAGTGTCAGGACCCTGAAGTCCCCTGGGCGCCACCTGTTTCTCCCTCGCGCCCCCGCCCCTGACAGCTGCTGACCTTTTCACTGCCTGTGGTTTGGCCCTTTCCAGAATGTCAGAGCGTCAGAACCATACCGCATGCAGGCTTTTCAGATTGGCCATGTCTGTTTCCAAGGGAAGTGCCTGTTCGTGCCCATGGCCGGCCCTTCTGTCATGATACCGGTTTGCTTTCTTGCTGACTTACAAAGTCGTCTTAAATGGTTATATGTTTTTCCAGCTTGGGTCATGTTAGTAAACATTTTCTTGCAAGTTTGTTGGTCTTTTGACTTTATTTTTCAGGATTACCATATAATCCTGTGATTTTTTTCATTTTGAGAAACCGAGTACTCTGTATTTTTTCAATGTCCCCAAATGAGCAAGTTTGTGTAGGTGGGGTTCCTAGCTCGAGAGGGCGCCCTTCTGGGAGCGCTGGCTGCAGCGCCTTTCGTGGTGGTGGGAGGGAGGGAGGGAGTCATTGGCCCGGCGACTGTCTCATCTATCTCTGTTCTTCGCCTCCCCTTCCTGGCTTGGGAGCGCGCGTCCTCGCTGTCTTTGGACAGGCTGTGTAGGCGGTGTGCCAGCTCCCGGCTGGCTCCGGGGGCTTTGAGTGTCTGAGAGTGGCTTTCTTTTTCCGGAAGTGGAGAAGGACCCTGTGGCAGGTTCTGGGCCCGGGGCGGCGACCTTCGGCCCAGCAGCTCCCGCTGTTCCCGGGAGAAGTGTGAGATCTGGGCACATCACCGCCTCTGTTCGGCCTCTGCTGGCTCTTTGTCACTTCCCGTCCTCCGGGGGCCGCCCTTTTTCTCAGTCGTTGCTAATGCAATTCCGGTGCTTCCTCCCTCCCTGGCCAGTTAGGAGAGGCTTCTCAGAAGGCTGAGGAGACGTGTCCCCTCCCCTGCTGCAGGGGGCTGCGTGGCCCTGCGTGCAGGGAAAGCTGGCTCTAAGGTGGTGGTGACTGAGAAGGTCACAAAGCGCTCCCCCTCCCCTGTGCAATGTTCTGGCTTGTGTGGCAGCGCCTCTGAGACCACAACGCTGGCTCTGGGCGGCTGCCTGCCATCGGGCTGCTCCCTGTCTTTTGTCACTCGCCTAAAACCCCTCAGCACCTGCAGCTCTGATGGCTCTCCCAGCTTGTTGTCCAGGTTTCCTGAAACCCCGCTTTATTAAAGGGAAAAGTGCTCATAAAGCTTCTTGCTTCAAGCCAGAGGGAGAGCAGTGCAATTTCCCCTTCTCCTTACACGTTAGAGTGAACGTGGGCAAGCTGCCACCACGCCACGGGCCGTTCAGGACATTCGCGGCAAGGCTATATCGTCCTGCGGCGGCGGCGGCGCACTCCAGGCACAAACCTCGGGCAGACCCGCTGCAGGCCGACCTCTGCGGTGAAACCCCAGGCGAGGCTGGATGTCGCCGGGCCTGCTTGCACTTTGGCAGTTGCAGCAAACACTGCAGGTCGGCTCCTTCTAGAAGCTGTAGGAGGACCAGGTTGGGCAGGAACAGCAGCTGAATTTCAGGCACGTTGAGGTTGAGGCCCAGGGCCTGTGTGCCTGGCATTTAGGAGAGGAGTCCGGGCCAGGGATACGCATTTGGGAAATGTTGGTGCCTGGGTGGCAGTTTGAGCCAGGCAGCCGGGTGAGACCTCCATTGGAGCGGCGAGCGCAGGCGGCAGCGAGCGAAGGACGAGGACGGACGAGGACGGAGCCCGGGGCCCCGACCTCAGGATGACCTGAGGCGAGGAGGAGCGTGAGAGGAGCCACGCCAGGACTGCTCGCGTTCTGGCAAAGCGAAGGGGCAAAGTGTGGCCTGTGTGCCTACGAGTGGCCCTCAGGCCTGTGCCTGCCAGCCTCAGTGTCCCCAGCAGCCGGATTGTCCCTGGCTCTCAGTGCAAGGCAGCAGTTTCTTTTTTTTATGTACACTGAACGAACTCTTTTCAGTTCTGCCCGATAGCTTGATTTCCTTCCATGGCCGCAACATAAAAGGTGTACGATGTTTGTACTTAACCCGTGAGCTTGGCGAGCTCCTGTCCCTGGACGCCTTCTCTGCGTCATCCAGTTCCCATCACATCGCTGTTACAGGGGCCAGTGTCATTCAGGGACGTGGCTGTGGACTTCACGCAGGAGGAGTGGCAGCAGCTGGGCCCCGAGCAGAAGACAACCTACCGGGACGTGATGCTGGAGAACTACAGCCACCTGGTGTCCGTGGGTGAGCCGGCCGGGCGCTCGGCGGCCGAGCGTAGGGGTCCCCCTCGCACGCCCAACTCCGGCTTTGCACGCGACGGGCAGGTGTGGGCGGCGCACGCCGGTCGCCCGGCAGGGCATTCCGGTCTGCTGCCCAGGGAGGGGTCCTGGGTGTGACAAGGCTCAGGTGGGCACTCGGGGGCGGAGTCCATCAGGCCGCACTGTGCTCAGACAGAAGCGACCGGCAGGCCAACGGCCTGGCTCAGGTTCTCCTTCGTCTCTGCTAACAGGGTGTCACGCTGTCAAACCGGAAGTTATCATCCGGCTGGAGCAAGGGGAAGAGCCGTGGGCAGAAGGCGAGCTGCTGCTTCAGAGGGGCCCAGGTGCGTTGCGGAGGTGCTAAGGGGACTGGTGGTAACTGGCCGTGTTCCTTCCGGGAGCTTGTAATGGTCCCAAACCTTTAGAAGTGATACAGGTAGCTCCCTGACTCTCGCCCCCAAAGGCATCTTCCTTCCCCACAAAAACCGGGTTTCCCACGCTTCCCTCCCAGAACCAAAGTCCAGTTGCTTCCTTCTTCCTCATAAACGCTGCGCCTCGCTCGCTCCCAGGGCACGTTCAGAAGCCAGTGTCACAGCCTCCTTGTGTTTTGAGGCAGTCATTCGTCTATTAATAAAAAATAACTTATGTGTCCCTTCTGTTCTTAGTACCTCCTTTCTTCTTCTTTGCTGTGAGATGCCCCAGCTGTGTCTCTGTCCTGTTCCTCTCCTCGCTTCTCTCTGAGGCGGGACCCCGGACTCCCGTCCTTTGCCTCGGTCGCCAGGGCGGCTCTCCTGCGCTGTCGTGTGCACGTGAGCTGGTCGTCATTCCTGGGCCCCGGCCCTTGTTAAGTTTGGTGACAGCAGGAGCTGGGTTCACCTCATCTCTCTTACTGACCGTTCAGTCCCCGAGGCTTCCCAGTGCCCCGCCACAGCAGGTGTGGCTGTGGGCCCTGCTTCCCCCTTGAGTGGTTTGCTTTGCAAGGGGCCCCTCCTGCCTCGAGCCCCCGGGTGCTGCTCGTCTGTTTGCCGCACCCCGTCCGCCTGCCCTGTCCTCTGGGCCAGCGCTCCCAGGCTTGGGGTTGCAGGACGTGCTCACCCGCAGTGCCCAGCGCCTCTCGCGGCCCATCGCGCAGGGCAAGGCTCCCCAGGCTCCCTAAAGGGAGCGTAAGCTCCATGTCCTCCTGGGAACGCCACCGTGCGCACGCTGTGTTGCCTGGAAAAAGCAGTTTTCAGTTGCTTCCCGAAATGCTGCTCCATTTGGACAAAACTCCATTTAGCCCAGATTCCTAAATGGGTCGTGTTCATGTGATTAGTGTCCCTACAGTGGGGTGGGCTTCATTCAGCCAGATCACACGTTCACTAAGGCTGAGCTCAAATTTTCAAACCCTTCCCTCCTTGAAGTTTTTCCTAACTCTTATCCTTACTCCAATTTCTCTCCTTCGACTTTGACTCTGCTCTTGGCGATACCTTTAAAAGAGTGAGGCCTGAGTCAGGCGCCCGCTGTCCGGCGGGGTGTGCGTGGTCTCTGCCTGAGCATCTCTCCTCCCCGGTTCCCAGCCCGGCCAAGCAGGCTCGGCCTCGCGCAGGAGGTACCGGGTGGTGCATGTGCATTTCTTTGGTCACCTGGGAGCTGGGTAGGTGGCAGAACGTTCTTGTCCATCTTGTCAGAAATACGTTGCGGGTGATCGTCTCTGAACATGCATGTCTGGGCCACACTCCCATGTTCTGCAGGTGCTTGAAGGACACCCGTAGCGTTCAGACTAAGAACGGCATCTCTGGTCTCTATTTAGGGTTCAAAAGATACAGGAAGCGGAGCCACGCATTCTAAGAGCCGGGCTCTAGTTAAGGACAGAGAACAGGGCCGTCTGGAGGAACCCGAAACTCAGCCTTTCCCGTGGGGTGTTGGTGTTTTGCTGCAAGGCCGGGTCACGCTGTGCTAACGGGACTGTATGGAGGGTAGTTACTTTCAGCTGTAAGGGAAGATGGCTGCTTGAGGTGAGAAAGGTTCGAGAAGCGTTTTGATAAAGTAGGGAAACCCCCTGGAGGCAGGGTTTGCACCAACCAAGGCCGGAAGTCACGTGGACCGAGTGACACAGCAGGAGCAGGCTTAGGGCAGGGCGCACACTGGCCTTGCCAGCACCGCAGCGGCCTGGACGGCGTCTCCCTCAGGCCTGTTGCGAGGCAGCGTGGGGGAGGTGCTGCCCGCCGCGTCCAGGCGGGCGCCCTGAGGCCGCGTCTGACGGCCCCCCGCCCAGTGGAGGGGCTGCTTTTCCTGGGGCAGGAGCCACTCAGAAGGCCAGGACGGTGCAGGTCGCGTCCTCGTTGTGCATCGAGGTGGTGGGAAGTATTCTCCACCAGGTTTTTATCTGCGGCTATTTGGACAGTGGGCTTATGGCACTTGTAGGCTTTGATGTGGACACTAGCAAGGAGAGTAGTCAAGTTTGTCTAAAAACTTGTAAGATGAGTGAAAATAAAGGTCACAATTTTTGGAGCAGGTGGAGGAATCTGATTTTTAACGTGTGCACACTAAGCGAAACTCAGTGCCGTCCGCGTTCGGAGTTAAGTGGCCGTGCGCGTGCGCCAAAGACGAGGCGAGCTGAAGGAGGATGTCCGGAGACTGGAAGTGGAAAACATAGCTGCTAAGCGTGCCGAGCGCGTCTCTTGTGCCGGACGCCGTTGGGAGCACGTGATCTGTGTTAACTCGCGTAATCCCACCGCAGCCCACAGGCGGCACGGTGTTGTCCCCACGTCGCCAGGGATGCTGCTGACCAGGGGGCCGGTCACGCACTTGCCCTGGTCACCTACCAGAGTTCCCGCCGCCGTGTCCAGAGAGGAGCACACAGAGTCCCACGGTCAGCATGAGTTCTGTTTAAATCGTAACATTAGAATAGTTAAGAAACCCAAAACCTGAGAAGGGGTGGCCTGCTCTGTGGTCGGTCGCGCTCCCCGTGGGACACAGCTGTTCCCGGGACTGTCCTCTAAGGGAACAGAACTAGAGCCAGAGCCCCGGGTGCAGGACTGTCACCCCAACCCCGAGGGGGTTTAGGTGTCGCTGTGCTTGGCGCTGCTCTGTGGAATCTGAAAAAATGGCCGAATTTTTGGATTGGAAGGATCTAGACCAATCAAAACGCTGCCACAGACCTCTGAGGGCAAGGGGACAGCGCCTTAGCCGTCACGTCTCTCCCAGCGGGTCGGCAACGGCCCTGTGTGAGGCGCTGCTCTTCCTCCCCCGGAACGGACCACCCTGGGAGAGATCCCATGGCCTCCGTGCCCCGAGCCCCCCTCGTTGCCCCGCCTCGTGACCCCGCTTGCTGGGGGCCCTCTCACTTCTGGCCCGTCGGGCACTCGGAAGGCACCCCGTGTTCTGATCGCTGCTCTGAGTTTCTATTTTGCCTTTTATCCCCAGTTTGAGCAGGATCTTATAAGGTAGTAAAGATCACAGGTACTTGTGTGTTTGTCAGTGTCTTTCCCCGTCTTGTCACCACGGGAGACTGTGTTTGCGTGTTACCCCAAACCAAAGAATAAGGGGGAAAGGATGCATGGAATTGTTCTCATCTGTCTGGGAAGCTGGCATCTGTGCCACATGGGAGTCCTGTGCGTGTGTCAGTCCATATCTTGTGTAGGGAGATGTACAAAATTTGGTTACTTTTGCCTCTTTTTAGAAGACACCTGGAAAGTCGATGGGATAGAGACAGTCCAGGAAAGCGAAGACAGGCGTTCGAAGCAGGCTGTGTCCATCAGCAGCAAAACCCTGACTGAAGAGAGGGTCAGTCTTCTTGGTAAGACTTTAAATGTGGAACCCAACCCCGCTCCCTCCAGAGGAGCACTCTCGCAGTGTGGCTCCTGCGGGCAGAGTTGGAAGCCCACTTCCGAGTACATCAGCAGCGACGGGAGCTACGCGAGAGCAAAGCCCGACGCGTGCAGCGCGTGCGGGAAGGCGCTTCTCCACGTGAAGCTTGAGAAAACGCACCCAGGAGAGAAAGCTAGTGAACTTAATCAAAATGGGGACGCTTATACTCTGAATGAAGACAGTATTTATCAGAATATTCATATTTTGGAGAAACCCTTTGAATATATTGAATGCCAGAAAGCCTTTGCAAAGGATCCAGTTTTTGTTACTCCTATGGAGGAGAAGCCCTACAAGTGGAACGAATCTGAAATAGCCTTTCTCCAGATGTCTAACCTCAGTGTCCACCCTGCGTCTCACATGGAAATGAAGCCCTATGAATGCAGTGCATGTGGGAAATCCTTCTGCAAGAAGTCCAAGTTCATCATCCACCAGAGGACTCACACAGGAGAGAAACCCTATGAATGTAATCAGTGTGGGAAGTCCTTCTGCCAGAAGGGGACCCTCACTGTCCATCAGAGAACACACACGGGGGAGAAGCCCTATGAATGTAACGAATGCGGGAAAACCTTCTACCAGAAGTTACACCTCATTCAGCATCAGAGAACTCACTCAGGAGAGAAGCCCTATGAATGTAGCTACTGCGGAAAATCATTCTGCCAGAAGACACACCTCACACAACACCAGAGAACACATTCGGGGGAGAGACCCTACGTTTGTCATGACTGCGGGAAAACTTTCTCCCAGAAGTCAGCACTGAATGACCATCACAAAATTCACACGGGAGTGAAGCTCTACAAGTGTAATGAATGCGGGAAGTGCTTCTGCCGCAAGTCTACCCTCACCACCCATCAGAGGACGCACACAGGAGAGAAACCCTACGAATGTAACGAGTGTGGGAAATTTTTCTCCCGGCTGTCATACCTCACTGTACATTACAGAACTCATTCAGGAGAGAAGCCCTATGAATGTAACGAATGTGGGAAAACCTTCTACCTGAATTCAGCCCTCATGAGACACCAGAGAGTACACACCGGAGAGAAGCCGTATGAATGTAACGAATGTGGGAAGCTCTTCTCCCAGTTGTCGTACCTCACTATCCATCACAGAACTCATTCAGGAGTCAAACCCTATGAATGTAACGAGTGTGGGAAAACCTTCTACCAGAATTCAGCCCTTTGTAGACATCGAAGAATACATAAAGGAGAGAAGCCCTACGAATGCTACATATGTGGGAAGTTCTTCTCTCAGATGTCGTACCTCACTATCCATCATAGAATCCATTCAGGAGAGAAACCCTATGAATGTAACGAGTGTGGGAAAACCTTCTGCCAGAATTCAGCCCTAAATAGACATCAGAGAACGCACACTGGAGAGAAAGCCTATGAGTGTTACGAATGTGGAAAATTCTTCTCTCAGATGTCATATCTCACCATACACCATAGAATCCACTCAGGAGAGAAGCCCTTTGAATGTAACGAGTGTGGAAAAGCCTTCTCTCGAATGTCATACCTCACTGTACATTACAGAACTCATTCAGGAGAGAAGCCCTATGAATGTAACGAATGTGGGAAAAAGTTCTACCACAAATCAGCCTTCAATAGCCATCAGAGAATCCACAGGAGAGGGAATGCGAATGTACTGGATGTGGGAAGACTTCTCTGAAGCCAGACCTCACACCACACCGGAGAGCCTTTCAGTGTGCAAGGCCCCGCCACAGTCGTTAGGTCCGAGCACTTGGGGGGAGCGCAGACCGGCCTCTGTGCGCCAGTCAGGCTTGTAAGCTGAAAATTCACAGGGTAGAAACCACAGCAGCGACAAGGCTGCATGATTTCTTGGCCACCAGACTATACAGGAGTAAAATTTATAAAGACATAGAATGTATATACATTTCCGTGGTTTCCAACTCTTACATTTCAGGGAATTCATACCAAGGGGAAGTTGTCATTCTAAGGGAGGTGGAAAACACTCCTTTGGAAATTGTTGATACTAAAAGTTATGTTTCTGATATAATAAGTTTTTTGTACAAAAAGATACGTTGTGAATAACTGTGCTCCTTGTGTAACTAGAAGCTGTAAAATCAGAGAGCTAACCAAGACAGCACCACAGCCACATTAAACTCATATATAAGTGTTTCCTGAGAATGTACAACTTTATTTGTATGTTTGCTTTTTAGAATGATACATTACAGGAGTTGTATGTTCAGTCTGAATCATGTTTGAAAAGGCAGTGTGTCCTTCGGAGTAATTTGTAAGACATGCAGCAAGATCCCTTATTTTAAATAGCACCCCCATGTTAGTATCTGATAGGCTTTGTCATTGAACTAATATATGATAGGTATAAAGGATGCTGCTTCTTGTAGTCTTCCCTAACACAATGTATTTGATCATTGTTAACGAACTGATTCTTCCATAAAGAAGTCAATGTTTTTTATAATATTATCAACTGTATCTGAGTCAGCGAGACAGCAGTTATGCATAAAGTAGATAGAAAACCACGTAGCTAATTTTAAATTATTACTGAAGCCTCCAATAGTGAGAAACAACTGTAATATTCACTGAATTCTACACAGGTTAAAAATAGTCCCATTTTTACTTACTTTTTTTTTCTAATTTGTATCTAACTTTTTCCATCTATTATTATTGGGATGTCTGCACAAATGTAAGTGTGCAGGCCACTGTACAATGTAACCGAGGAATGACCTGTATTTTTATTTTCTATAATAGTATTTTAAACATTGTGCTCTACTGCTTCCGGGTCCTGAGTGGATGAACACGTTTGCATGGGTTTGTGCAGACATCGTTGAGTAACCTCCCTCGTCACTTGCTCCTTACTGGTTGCTGGCACAGCCTGCGTCGCCAAGTCTCCTCACGGAACGGGAGATAAATCCTGATCAGTTTTGACCAATGATTATCCCTCTCTCAGCACCAGGGATGGAGTGGTCATAGGAGCCAATTCTAGGCACGTCTACGAAGGAGATACCGGACAGGTTATATCTGGCAAAGGTTTCCTCTGAGATTCAAGGAACCCTGAAGGGTGACATGGGACCTGGTGTCGAACGCTGCCTGTCGGGATGGGAGGCCTGGTCATGTCTCCCTGCGACGGAGCGCACTTGGAGACGAGGGCCCGGGGCCCGGCTGATGATGCTGAGGCTGCTGAGCCAGCCAGCCACGTAGCCACGTAGCCACTTCACCTCTGGACTGTTTCTTCTGTGAAAGACTAACTTTATTTTTAAGCAAGTGGATTTAGGTTGCTCTGTTAGTAATAACAAGATACAAAGTTACACTTTTGTAGGAGCTACACAGTTGAGAACTGGACTTTAGGTAAATCATTTATTTCGAGGTGTTGACATAGAGATTTATTTTCTGTAAATTTTGATGTAAGTAGTTTGAGCATTAGAAACAATTAAGTGTATGTTTCCTTGAATTGTTACATCGTTGACCTAAGGACCTTTGGAACCTGATACAATCTTCCTTTTTATAATTCACGACATTCAAGAATTGCTTAGGTTCATTTATATCCCCCATGCATCGTTGCTACAATGTTAGTTGACAACATACAGAGTAAGGTGAGGACCTACTTCTGCTTGCTCCCCAGAGCCTGACACCTGTTCTGTCTGGATAACTCGCCCCTCACCGCTGAGATGAACGGCCGCGCTTTTCACGTGTTTCCACCAGTTGGGCACCCGTGTTGTTGTCACACTTCCCTCCGCTGCCTTCTAGGTGACTGGACTGTGCCACGGAGCAGGACCTGCAGGCCCGGCAGGCTGCAGAGTTTTGTGTAGGAACCATGTGTTCACAATATGTTTGTTGAAGTGATATCTGCAAAGGTTTCCCACACTCGCGTGTCATCGTCATCGCTTAAGCGCACGGTGTGCATTTTCAGTAAAACGTTTGAAAAGCTCCCGTGGCTGACGCCATTCTTTCCGTCTGGCGGAGAGCCTGCAGTACAGGGGCCGGTGCGGGGCCGCCGCCTCGGAGCCTGGCCTGGTCACTTGCGATCACGTTTGGGTACCTCTGTAACGGTTTGTCTTGGAGCTGACGGAATGCCACGTTTGAGAAGCTTACCTCTCCTGGCGAGCGTGTAGGTCACACAGGCCCGAGTCAGCGGGAGGAAGCACCGTGGTCCGAGTCCGTGCCTGCCGGGCAGCAAAGGCTGAAAGCTCACACGGCGCGAGCGCTTGCTGTGTAGACACAGCAACGTCGTAATTCATGGCGTGAGCAGATCAGGAGCCCTGGGAGGGGCGTCCAAGGGCTGAGCAGGAGGTCAGCCCTCCCTGGCAGGTGGGCATGAGCCCCCCTCCCATGTTTCTAATCATTCTATGGTTAGTGGAGGGCTGGGTCAGTCGTGGCTGCCGTGGCCTCAAATAGGTCAAGATGAAGACATGGCCACGTTGTGGCTGAGGCCACAGGTCCCCTCGCCTCTGTCCCATCGCCGTCTGCCTGGCTGGGCCGCCCAGTTGAGCTCCCCAAAGGCGGCTGCATGCTGAGAGGCATGGTCTCCGTCCAGAGACTGGCCAGCTTTGCAGGATGACCATTCAACAAGGAAACACCCTTTTAAAATTAGGTTGCTTTTTCCTTTTCATCACCGAGGTAGCTACACCACAAACAGAGCTTTCCCTTCCTTGGATATGAAGTCTATGGTTCCTGCCAAATTGAGGAACTAGCATGAGCCACTGGCTTGTTTCCATAGCCCGACGCAGAGATGCCACAGAAGTTAGAGCCGAGCCCAGGCCGGGGAACCACGCCGCAGGGGCGACGGCTCTGCGGGAGGGCCGACGTGGCTCCTGCTCGGGGAGGTTCGGGCAGGCGGAGAAGACGCGGGCTGGACACCACATACTCTCACCCACCGTGGTGCCTTCTAGAGACAGGAAAGCAGTGCAGCGCCTTGGTCCCCTCAGGCGAGTGGACACCGGCGCGGGGTGCTGGCCCGCAGCCCCTCGCTCCAAAGCCACACCGCCGCAGTGGGTGGGCATGCTGCCCTGGACGCAGGTGGTGGTGCTTTCAGTGATGGTGCAGGGCCCAGAAGAGAGGGATCAGTCCGGAAGGGGGTTTGTCCCTGCTGGGGGTGGCCTTTCTCTTCCATGGGCTTCTAACCGCCCTGGGGAGCAGGCACTAGGGACCACACCTCTCTGCTACTCGTATGAACCGATACTGAGGCTTGTGGATACCCCAGTGGAAACTAATTCCAGAAAAAGTCGGACACGTGGGCTTCCTAAGAGGCAGCTGACCACACCATCCGCAGCTGGCAAGCTGAACGGGCTGTGGAAAGCCACATCGCAGGTTTTCTTAAAGACGTGGTCTCCACAGAGGACCCTTTGTTCACGACCTCCCGCCCCTTCCCTGCGGCGCCAGTGAGCTGGCTGCTGAGCAGGCTCGCCCGGACCGCCCGCCCCGCGGCCGGCACCGAAGAGACTTGTTACCCGCTGGGCATCCGTCCTGGGTGACCGCTCTGAGGGGTATTCAGAAGTGACTTCACGTAGAACGACTTTCCACATCATCATGTTTAAAGGGCCGAGCCTCCCCAGGGTGAGCTCCGGTGTGACTTCACGGCTGACTTCACGTGGCAGGCTCTCCGACACTCATCGCTTTCACGTGGTTTTCTCCCCGTGTGAGGTTTCTGATGAGAGTGAAGGCTGACGTTTCGTAGGACTTCCCGCATTTACTGCATCCGTGGCGCTTCTCCCCTGTGGATGTTCCTTCCATCACAGTGCGGATCCAATTCATCGCAGCGGAGTTACCACCCCCGTTACAGGTGTAGGGCTCCAAACCTGTCTGAGTTTTAGATGAGCTCTGAGTGCGCAGAGAAGGTCTCCCCGCATTCGCAGCAGCCGCAGCTTTCTTCCCTGGACGACATGCTCGGCGTAGGACGAGGGCTGGCTCAGTGCCCCGCGCGCGTCCCGGGGCACAGGAGGGCCGGCCTACCGTGGGAGGGCCTCCCACGCCCATCGGCCCACGGGGCTCCTCCCTGTGAGTGCTCTGCTGCGTAGTTAGGTCAGGAAGTCACGCGGGGGGACTTCCCACAGCCGTCCGTTCTTACGGCTGCTCCCCGTGTGTGTGCTCTGCTGACGGCCGGAGCGTGATTTTGCACAGCAGCCTTTCCCACGCTCGCTACGTGGACAGTGCTCCCCTCCCGCGGGGGCCTCGGCTGGACTCTCAGCGCTGAGCTACGCCTAAAAGACGCACGCTCGCTGCTCACAGAGAGCGTGTCTGACGTGGTCCCCTGCCGATCGGTTAGGGCTGACTTCACGGGGGCTTTGTCACGTCACAGGGTCTCCCTCCCGGGCAGCTCTTCTGAGGGTCTGTGGGCTGCGGTCTCGGGAAGGTTTCCCCACATTGATTGCTTTCACGTGCTCCTCTCTTGCATGGGTCTCCCGATGTTGAGTGAGGTGGGGCTCCTGCTTAAAAGATTTCTCACAACGACTACGTTCCATGGTTTTCTCTCCAGGGCAAGTTTTCTGAGATTGGAATTTTTTTCATTTTCATTAGATGCCTGGGTTTTCTCCTCTCTGTTAACTTCCTGCTGTTTGACGAGGGCTGACTTCTCACACTCGTTGACTTCGGGGTGCTTCTTCCTTGTGCGCGCTGCCTGATGGGCTCCGAGGGCGGACATGTCACTGATGGGTCCCCCGTTCTTTACGATCGCAGGGTTTCTCTTCTGTCTGCGCCCCTGAGGGGCTAGCACGGCTGCCGTATCAGAGAAGCCTCCACACGCCGTTGTCTTCAAACGGTGGTCCCAGCGTGGGAATTTTCCGGAGCTCCGTACGGTCCTCGGTACGACTTAGGGGTTTCTCATCTTGGCTAGAGTCGTCAGATCTCTTTCCAATATGGATGTTTCCCTGTTGTTTTTGTTTTCCAATAAGGAACTTCCCACGTGCAGTAATCCCATTACAGTTCTTACTGGAATGATTTTTTTATCACTAGTTATTGGTGCTGAAACATTTTTCAAACTCAGTCCACGAGTCATATTGACAGGATGGTTCCCCCGCCCCAGACACAGGGTTTGTGCCCAGAGTAAATATTTTTCTGAAAACATTCTCTTTCTCGTAGTCAGGGTGGTTTTTTTTGTTGGTGAGTGAAACTCACCACAGATGTGTATCTTGGTTTTCATGGTTCCTGTTTATTTGACTATCAAACTTCCTGACTTCTAGAAATAAAAAAATTAAGTGTACTATTAAAAAGTTAACACATTTCCTATGTTAGTATAATTTATTATGTTGCTGATTCTCAAATTTCAGGCCCCAGCTCCTTGGGTCAGAAAAAAAAAAAGAAAAGAAAGAAAATGCCTATTACAGTGGGAAAGGAAGAGTAAAGTGAGCGGTGGACATATACCTATCTGCTATTTAAAAAATAGGACCTTTAGGGCTAAAACAAGAGGGGAAACTAAGCACAGGAGATGAACTGAGGGGAGAGCATTACACAGAGGCTAAGATAATGGGGCCAACCCGGCAGAGCCACGGCCATGAAGGCGGGAGGGTGGTTCCGCACCGTGGGCCGGAGGGGCCGCACAGGAAGCCGCAGATGTGGGATAAAACAGATTATGTGCATCTCTAGGGATGTGGCCCGCTATCCGTGCCAATGCATGAAATAAGATGTCAGTTGTTCAAGATACCCTTACAAAAACACGCAACAAATATTTTATAAATATTCACTGTCAATCACAAGTTACACCTTTGATACAGATCCCTACACGCAGCAGCCTACTTCCCAGCAGCAGTTCAACTAAAAACTCTGATGTCCTCTAGGAAATGCATCTCTCCCTAGCTTTGTCTGTCTGTCTGTCTGTCTCTCTCTCACACACACCCTTTTTCAAACCATGCCTCTTCAACTCCATTTTCTCAAACACTGAAGGTAGTCACTACCTACATTTCTCATTAACACACTTTGGAAAGCACTAACTGTACCCAGACAGCACTTGATAAGACTGAATTTCAACCAACATCGCATGATTTTGTTTCCCGCTCCCATCTGCAGCCTCGGCCCCCAGCACGTCTGAGTGTGTCTCTCGTTGCCTCTGAGTAGATTCAGTTGGTGGCCCTCAACAGGCAGGATGTATCACAATTACCTGGAAATCCACTCAAAGCACAGTGTACAGACGGTCACAGTCCCATGCCAATCTATATTCCCTACCTATCAGGATCTACAAGGACGCAGCATGGGCCTGTGTACTCAGGAAAGGCTCTCCGAATAAACGTATCTATCAGTATGAACAGATGAGCGTAGTTCCTACCTAGTACACGTCGCAGTAAGGAAGGGTGAGAAGAGGCCCTTTGGACGGGAACAAAAGCCGCGGGCAGATGACCAGGTGCTTCTCACAGAGAGTGATCACGCGTGAGGTGCTCATGGTTCAGCCACTGAGTGAAAGTTTTTTTGTTTTTGTTTTTAGATTTCATGTACTTATTTATTTTTAGAGGGAGGGGAAGACAGGGAGAAAGGGAAGGGGAGAAACATCGATGTGCCAGAGAAACATCCATCAGTTGCCTCTCACGCGGCCCCAGCTGGGGACCCAGCCTGCAACCCAAGCCTGTGCCCTGGCTGGGAATCTAACCAGTGACCTCTTTGGTTCGCAGACCCGCACTCAATACACTGAGCCACACCAGCTCCGCTAGAAAGTGCAGTTCTATCGGGCATTGTCAGGCTAGGCTTCTCTGAATAGTGCGTCCTCACCGATGTGGCCCCAGTGCATAAGCGAAGTCAGAGAGACGCCCAGGACGCGCAGCTGCGCGGCAGGAGAGCGGCTGAGCGCTGAGGGCAGCGGCTGCAGGGAGGTCAGGACACGAGCGATAGGGAGGCATTCGGGACTTGCTCCTGCAGTTCCGTGGTCTCCAAACTGCTTCGCCACCTCCCGGGCAGCAAAGGCCTGAGCGCCCCTAATTGATCTATCCTGCCCTAGTGCCCGTCCGCCCTGCCGGTCTGCACAGGCGCTGGTGCGACCGTGAGGACGCTGAGGAGCCGCCGGCCGGACGCTGCTGTAACCGTAAGGTTCACAGGAAATGACAAGAATGAGCTCAGGTCAATAACCTGACTTGACAACTTACAGACCTAGAAGAAGAA